AGTGACCAAACCTTAGTTGACCGATTTGGGTGGCTGACATGGTAACGATCTGCGTGGGAATCGTCGCTACAGTCCGGGCCCTACTGCCAATTTGGAGGCTTCGTAATTTTCGCCCAGAGAACTGCACTTTTGAAATTCTGTGACGTCGCAAGTGACGCGTCAAACGCGTCCAAAATTGGTACATTTATGACTGTAAAATCGCTTCATATTCTGATACAATTTTCATCCACACATCTTTACATTCCAGTCACAACCGCGATTTTTTCATTTTCGCGAAAATTTTGAGATTGCTCTGTGGGCTCCAATATGCATTGCTAACAACCGAGAAAAATATAAGAGGCATAATGAGCCACATAAAAAGCATGTGTAGATTCTGGTACAGCTACGAGGGCACATGGTGGCCCTACGAACTTTGCGCTTTCCACGCTGTGATTATATACAGGGCAGTTTCAAAACGCGACCGTCGCATCAAAAGCAATTACTTAAAGAATATAGAATGTATATCACGTGATTCTGGGGCTACAAGATCTATCAAAGCATCACCTTGTCTGAAAGGATGTATTCCAAGCACGAAGTGTGTTGAATATAGCATCCACCGAGCTAAAGTAATTATATGATGTTTTAAAGTATAACATCTTACTAGTTAATGGTCAAAAACCGTTGATGAGTCTCAGTATGGCGAGCTTCGCGTTATAGTAGAGCTATTCATACGACCAAGAAGTCATTTTTGCTTATATAAACTACATTAGCACGCCAAAGAGAAAACATTCAATATCGACGCACTGAATTTAATAAGAGGCCATCCTTACTTTCATTGAACAACTATATATTTGTATCGACCAAGTTTATGATATAATGACAGATGTGCATTCACCCAAGCGCTGATGAAAATGGAGTAATGAGGGCTTATTCTAGCATAAATTGCGATCAGGAATATTGTCAGATCTTCGTCATATGTACTTTTGACAGGATTTGAGAGGAGAATTTAAGTAGGTGACAGAAGCTAGGAAACGTGAAGAAGAATCATATATAAATTTGATATATATTAATAGAAACCACACAAGGGTGTAGATCTCAGCGCCTTTGATATTAGTATTATCCACACAATCGTCGAAGTTGTACTAATATATTTGACCTTTAAAATACGTGCAACAATTTATGATATCTTTGACTTAGAGCGTTCAACCATGTCTTAGCTTGCCTCATGATGCACGAAAGTGTTCAATGGTAATTCGTAAATTTGAGTTTGAGATATCTAAAGTTACTTCTGACCAGTCGGGTAGGGTTGTGATAATCATTAATCGTAATAACCATCGACTTAACCTATTGCAGCGAAGTATGTCACAATAGAGGACGGGTAACAACATCTCGAAGCAGTCTAAATTATAATAAAATATGCTATTAATATCAACCAAACCATATGTACCCGATAAAATTTATCATGTATTTTACAAAATTAAAAGATATGATTGCAGAGAGGTTTACGATATCGGAAAAATATTTCAGCGTGTTGGAGTTAGTGACGCGTTTAAGGTGAAAAAGACTATCAATTCAAATGAATAAAACTATTTTACACCATGCAATGCGACATCTGGTCACTATGATTTCCTGTTTAAAACCCGTGTTAAGCTAACATATTGCATAGCATTATACACTAGATATTTATAGATTTTATATTTCATTGTATACCGTCCGAGCGATCGTCCGAGAGAGCGTCCGAGTTGTTGGTGATTCGTGCGAATCGGTTGCCTTTTGGGTTGACGGTGTCAGCTAATAAAAGAGCTTCTTTCATTCCTTTTTAGACTTAAAGATGAACACTTTCGAAGCTGCAGTTAGTATTTTGCGTTCGTATGTTATCAAAGCTAACGTTAACAGCGTAGCGATAATTGGACAATTCCATCACTTATCAAGCATCATTTTGAACACAACAGAGAGCATGTGTTCTTTGAAGACACTGAAGGTCACCAGTATAAGGGTTTGGAAGTTCATAAGGCTGTATATCGAGCAGCAGCATACCTACAAGAACAACTAAACCATAAGAACGATCAAACGATTGGATTCTACCTAGAGAATGAATGTTTGACTTATTCAACGATGCTCAAAGGCGCTGTGGTATCTGGAAATCAAATGTTGGCTTTGTCTAACAGGAATTCGGTACCTGCATTGGCGCATCTTATCAAAAGCACGGATACTCACAATTTACTCTATGGAGATACCTCTATCCAGCTAACGAACAATGCTATGGAAGTCAAGAGTATTTTAACAAAGGAGGGATTTGAAGTAAACTTAATCAAAGCACCACCAGTTTCACTTTTGTTCCCAGAAGTGTCGGACAAAGAGTTCGACGCGCATTTAGATCCTCTACCAGCTAAATTCGAAGACGACAAAAAATCGCCCATCATCCTCCACTCGTCGGGTTCATCAGGTAGCTTCCCAAAGCCTATTTACCTTTCGAATGAAACAATTAGAAGTTGGGCATTATCGCACGATAATTCCAATGCTCAAGACATTTTGAGCTTACAAGGGAAGAAGTTCTACTCTGGTGCTCTTCCAACTTTTCATGCAATGGGATTTTATAGTCAAGTTATTAGCAGTCTGTCTTCAACTGTAACAATCGCAATTCCAAAAGTGTCGCTTCCACCACCATTCCCAACGCCCGAGTCAATCATAGAAAATATTAAGAGAACGAATTCTGACATTGCGATCGTAGTACCATCGATCATAGAAAAATGGGCAGAAGACGCCTCTACGGTTGAATTCTTGAAGACATTAAAACTGCTTCTTTTTGGTGGAGCAGGTCTGTCAAGTAACATCGGGAACATGCTGACTGCAGAAGGTGTCCCTCTCCTTTCTGTATATGGTACTACCGAAACCGGACCTTCTTGCTCTTGTTTTACTATTAGGAACTCCGAAAACAGTAATGAGTGGGGTTACAGTATATTAAGCTCAAACCATAATGCCAGATTTATCGATCAAGGAGACGGTTTGTTTGAACTTCATTTCCTGAATAATGGCAAGCATATTCCATCAGTTAACAACTTGGATGATGCGTTAGGCTATAACACGGGCGATTTAGGTAATTGTTTTGAATTCAATCCTTTGACTACAAACTGATCCTAACTAGTTGAGCGTCATCCTTACAAGAAGGATCTGTTCAAGATAGTCGGTCGTTCAGATTCTCAAATAATTCTGGCTTCTGGAGAAAAAACAAATCCTGAGCCAATTGGTAAGTTATTTACGTAAAAGGTCAAATTCGAATGCTAAACAAACTCTTAGAGCGCCTTATCGATTCGAATCCTCTCGTATCCAGATCCTTAATGTTCGGAAGACATAGAACATCTAATGGCATAATTATAGAACCATCTTTCTCTATCAGTAATTCTGAAGATTTTCTTGATAGTATTTGGCCTTCAATTGAAGCTGCCAACGATCATGCTCCACAACATTCGCGTTTACAAAGATCGCTGGTCCTTATAGCTACCGAGCCATTCCCACTTACTCCAAAGGGCAGTGTTAAGCGCAATGCTACATTAGAAATGTTTCAGGACGAAATTGAAGCCGCTTATAATAAAGCAGATGAAGCTGTTGCAGAGTCAGTACCATTCGATATAAGTAACGTTCGCGCATCGGTTAGCAATATTGTAAACTCCGTCATGGGACAATCTCTGGAGGACGTTGATTTAGTTTCCCAAGGTTTAGATTCAATGCAAGCAACTATTATCCGTAACAAGCTCACATCTGCACTGAAAGCATTCAAGGACGTGAACTTGAATGCTACTATTGTCTTTCAACATCCAAAAATAACACTACTATCCGAATATGTTGATCAGATCCTCAATGATGATAAAAAGGAACTTTCAGAAGAAGAACTTGTTGATATGAAAGCTGCAGAGATCAATGCCACAATTGATAGACATTGTGACACTATCAAAGCTAAGGTTTCCAACAAATGGGAAGAACCTGCTCGAGAATGTAATAAGGTCCTAGTTACTGGTACTACCGGTGGTCTTGGTGCTCAATTGCTTGTTACTCTTATCAGAGATGCAACTGTCGATCATGTCTACGCTGTCAACCGTTCAAACGCCATCAACAGTCTGAAGGAGCGCCAGATTAAAGCCTTAGCCGAAAAGGGTATCCCGGCGTCAGAGATAGTCAACTCAACTAAATTGACACTTATCGAAGCTGATTTAACTTTACCAGACTTGGGACTGGAGGAAAAGCAGTATAGAGAAATCGAGGAGGAAGTTGATGTTATTATCCACAACGCCTGGAGAGTCGACTTCAATGTAGCTTTGCAATCATTTGAGCCGGATATCAAGGGTGTTGTGAATTTGACCAATCTGGCTATTACTTCGAAACATGGCGCAGCTGTTCTGTTCACATCATCAATTGGTAGTGTTTCACGTTGGCCTGTTGGTAGAGAAACCGTAGAGGAGCCACTAACTGACGCCAGAATGGCAGTCGGAATGGGCTACGGTGAAAGCAAATTCGTCGGAGAACGAATTCTGTCATACGCATCTTCTAAAATTGGTTTACCAACGACGGTACTGAGAATTGGACAATTGTGTGGTGATCGTGAAGTCGGATATTGGACTAGCAGTAACTGGGTGCCTGCTATTATAAAATCGGGTGTATCATTGCACTGCTTACCAACCGGTGACGATATAATCACTTGGATCAGTCTCGACGACGCAGCAAAAGCGATAGTTGATTTCTCGCATAACAGGAGAAGCAGCAAAATACACGATCTCCTTCATGTCGTACACCCTCGTCCAAGATCCTGGAACGATATCTTCAAGGTAGTCGTTAACGCGCTCAATAAGAAGGGTATTGAAGTCATTTTGGTAGACTATCAGACTTGGCTGAGCAAGTTGAAATCAGAGGACACCTCAAAAATGGTTGAAAATCCAGCAATCAAACTCTTACCTATGTTTGAATCAGGAGAGGTCTCTAACACCCGTAGAGAGTTCGTTGAAGCTATGGGTAACCCTATTCTGCAAACAGTCCGCTCTCAAGAAGCCTCGGCGACAATGAGGTCATGCAAAGAACTCAGCGACGGTGATGTTCTCAAGTGGATGGACAGCTGGTTCAACGAGCGTTTTATTTAATTTTTATTTGTAATACCCAAAACTAAATAGAATTGACGTAATATTATCTTCTTCCTTGACTTCAATGATCTCTAGAAATTCAACGAAAGAATCTGTGAGAACATTCCTCAGCGCGTTGGAGGAATACGATGATTTAGCAAATGCTATATCTCAATTGGGACCCTTTTACGATAGCAGAGAGTCCTGGTCAGATGAGCAACTAAGAGACGATATCTTGTGTGCGTTTTTATACCAATATAAGATTACAGTTAATGCTTTTTAGCTGCTACCAAGTATTCTATCTCGCGGCGCTCGTTGAATTCACTAGAAACCGTTCAAAGTGTTATCTTCAATTATATCAAGCCTTTTTTTACCGCACAACAGAAGAAGATCAACGAAAATACAGGTAGAGTCAGAATAAGAGAACTTGCTAGCGAGCACGTCGATACGTTAGACGAACCTGCTTGGAAGACTCAGACGTTCGGTATCTGGGGCACACTCCTACTTCTTATGGATGTAACCGATGTGGGAGGCAATCTACGCATTATATCAGCCATCTAACTTATCATATAGGTATCAAAAAGCTGGTTCATGTTTCTTCCACCAACGATGAGCCTCCTCGACGATCATGAACCGTACTATAAGACACGCGGAGTGAGACTTGCAAGAAAGCTCATAGACTCACTTGACAATAAAACCATACACCAAGCTGGTTTGCGTTCATTATGGGAGGATGTGAGTATTCCTATGTTCTCACAATTCATGACTTAACGCCTATCAGTCACTTTATATCGCTCTTACTTTCTTTGCACAAGAGCATGGTCCTGAATTGCTTGCTAGTACAGTTGAGGCGTTGTTGGCACTCTACAGGAAGACGACGGTAGACGTCGATACGCTTTACAAACTGACAATGGAAGGTATCATTCAGCCTTGGTTCTACTCTGGCGATAAGCTAGACGTGCTGCTACCGACCTTCACTGTTCTTCCGCACCTGCTACTTACGATGGACGTGAACTCGGTGAGGTTCCTGAAGGTAAGAGCGTCTAAGAAATTGACACAATCAAGACTAACGTATACATTTAGGTAATCATTCCCAAAATAAATGAAGTACTCATAATGGTCTCTCCTCCGACTGAACATTCACTACCAGTTCAAGTTGCAGCTCTTGACGCATTGTCCACTCTGATACGCGTATGTAAACCACGCATACAACAACGTAGAGTACAGGTACTAGAAGGTCTAGTAAAGGCTTTCGTTAAAGCAGACCTACATAGTTTATTTGCTAAAAGGATCCAAGCTTGTTACAGCTTACTTAAAGAGACCACACCTCAAATCAGTGAAGATCTTAGTATGCTTACACGTATACACCCATCACTGAAGCAGCTAGATGCTGATTTTAGTTGAATCTCAAAATGCGATCATATATACCACAAATATAGTACAATATCCAGATAAATCATGCATTTTATAGATGTTAATCATTCAACTGCTGTTTGCCAAGGCCCCGGATGTCTTATCTTACGTTTTAGGTGACATGCACATTGCCGATCGGTGGTTGTTTGCGGACAGTGATGAAGCTAAAGGGTCAGGAACACATAATATAAAACTCTTTAAGTGTCTATAAAAGGTATGTTTTACTTTCTAAACCGTTTAGACACTTTTACGGTGCAACACTCGCATTTCAAGCTAAGACTAGTTCCTGTATTTAATTAATGCCAAAAAAATCAATACATTTTTACCCGATGCCTTTAAAGTACCCTCTAGCGGAACAACGGGTCTAAAATAATTCAAGAAATAGCATTCTTCGCTTTAGGTGTTTTTACAACACTTTTTATATTCCAAATCTGCCATGTTTATATCAAACGAAAGAATATTTTCACAGCTCCTTTTATTGATGTTGTTTACTACGACAATAATGGGACAGCCATTGCATACTTACCAATATCATCAAACTCCAATCGTAAACAGAGAAGAGACATTGGGAATAGATGTTGAGCTACCTATCCGAGGAGCAGAAGCATCATTTGAAATCGAGTAAGGTGTTGTGTGGTCCATGAGAGATAGCTACTTCTAGTGATCAACATTCGATGGTTAAATTTCTAAAATGCTATCGTATTTACCACAAATATTGTACAATATCCAAATAAATTATGCTTTCTATAGATATAAATCATTCAACTACTGTGTTCCAGGGCTCTGGATTTATTTTTGCGCGGTCAAAGGTATGTAACATAGCTTGCTCTTCTTCACCATTTACTTTATCATCTGTGATTGTTTCCCTAACGAAGGTTACAACTTGTGGTGTTCCTTTTTGGCCAAATCTACCAACACGACCAGCTATGTGAGAATATTTTGTCACATCTTTGATCGGACCAGCGATCATCACCAGTTCTAGGGAAGGCATGTGTAAACCTCTGGCAGCATGTTCGTGAACTATATAGAGAGTGGAAGAATCTTTCTCTGTATCTTCTTCATATTTCAAACCACTCTCGTCATCTTCTTTTGAAAGGTTGACTAGTTGACGAGCATCTACGTCAAGCTCACTGAAGAAGTCTTCTAGTCGTTTGATGGATGCATTTGAAGGCACTATCAGTATCGCAGATCCTCTGCTATTACTTTTTGCATTCCATATTGCGAACGCTGCTGCTATACTCTCGAAAAGATTTTCATCTTCGTTAGTTTCACCAACGAATTTGCTGATCTGGCTTCGCCTAATTTGTAGTTCTTTACTGCCGTTGTTTGTATCCTCAGTTGTACGGATATTTCGTATTTCACCGTGTGTATTTACCACAACACATGAATGCTTGACTTGGCAATCTCTTTCACTGGGTTTTGCATTGATATATGATGTAGCTGGGCCCGCCCACCTTTTCTCAACCTTTAGGTGGCCTCGGAGAGGTGCATTGAGAGATGCACTCGTAGCGATGAATTGAATTTTATGATCACTACCTCCGATCAATGCATCAACTATAGGGTATAGCACGTCTTTTTTCTTTTTAGGAGCCTTTTTGAAAGATCTCGATGTCCGTCTGATTGATTTTGTTGGTAGGAGCGCATCCACCTCATCCAATGCAATGCAATTGAGGTTTTGAACAACGTTGTGTTTCTCTCGAGTGTTGAAAAGGGTTGGGTCATGTAAAAAGGCGTCAGCTAGACCATTAGGTGTACAAACGAGCACTTTTGGTATGGTAGCACGTAACGAAAGGACCTGGTCGACAGTAGAAAGAACTGGTGAGCGATACAAAGTACCGACATATCCGGAGTAGGTTTGAGGGTAGAGTATCTCACTCCAGAGTGTATACTGACGTAGTAGCTCATATGTAGGTACCATGATGATACCATGTATGCTGGTTCTATGTCCTTCGTTGATACTAGCGAAGCTCTTTCCATAAGAGAGTGGGTCGAATGTGATTTTTTTGCTTGTACTTTCTGTTGTATGAGTGCGTGGCTGCTGTGATAAGAGCGAAAGCAGCAACCCGAGAGATCTGAAGGGAGTTGTGAGCTATATCGCTATAAAAAACAAGGACATACTTTCCATCCCCAGTTTCTGCTTTCAAAAGTACATCAAAGCCATTTGAGATTTTAGAGATCAGTTCAGATTGTGCAGGAGTGGGTGTGTGTACGCTAGGGAAATTTGTGTGTAGACGATCTATAAGATCAGCTGACAAAGGGAGATTGTTAAATTTTAGACTTTTTAGTCTTATTTTCGAGAATCTCATCGTTGTCGATTCCCAACGATGGCCGAATTACCAGCGCTCAGAGATCCCTACTTTTTAGCAGCCGTAGCTGGTATCATTATAGCATTCGGTTTAGGCGGTTATCTCGGCTGTGAGTATTCTCTTTCGCGAACACTTCACGCTCAGACTTTCTAGTATTCAGCAGCAAACCAAAGCCAGTACTCGATCCGAAGGAATTCAAAGAGTTCCCTCTTGTAGAGAAGCACAAACTTAGTCCAAATACCGCCCTTTATCGTTTCGGATTGGCAAACAAAACTGATGTCTTGGGTTTGCCTATCGGACAGCACATTTCTGTACAAGCAGAGATCAACGGAAAGCAGGTTATGAGATCATACACCCCAACCTCATCAGACGATGACAAGGGACACTTCGATTTGGTCGTCAAGACCTACGCTCAGGGTAACATCAGTCTTTTCCTCGATAAGCTCCAATTGGGTCAAAATGTTCGCATTAGAGGTCCAAAGGGTCAATTCAAGTATGACGAGAATCTCACACACCACATCGGTATGATTGCAGGTGGTACTGGCATTACCCCAATGCTTCAAGTGGGTTCAGACATATTTATTTACCTATCTAACGCGTTCTCATAGGTTATTCGCGCTATTCTTAAAAACCCACGCGACACAACTCAAGTCGATTTGATCTACGCCAATGTCACATTCGATGACATCCTCATGAAGAAAGAAATCGACGACCTTGTCAAGCAAGAGCAAGATAATGGAAAGAACAGATTAAGGGTTCTTTACGTTCTTAACTCACCACCAGCTAGCTGGGATGGTGGTATTGGCTTTGTCAACAAGCAAATGATCGAAGAAAGATTTCCTCCTGCAGCCAAAGAGGGTAAGGTCTTGCTCTGTGGTCCACCACCAATGATCAATGCAATGAAGAACCATCTCAACGAGCTCAAGTACCCTGCTCCACGTGCTGTTTCGAAGTTGTCTGATCAAATTTTCTGTTTCTAGAGGTTTTTATAAGGGAATGTTTAATTGTTAAAAAAATGAATATTAATGACTAAATAAAAAGCAATTGGTTATCTGTATAGCTGGTGAGCGTCATAATTGGTATTCTTGCCATCACGATTTATCGTAGGCGTGTTGAGTAAACTATCATTGATATTCTCTTTATCAATCATGCTTTTATTGAGGGTCTCATCTTCTTCTTCGCCTAAGACGTCAAACCTAGCTTGATCTCTTCTGCGTTGACTTGCGGTATGTAATTGATTCACAAGCTCGATTTTACGATTGGTATTAATCTCACTTTGCTCAGATTCAGCTCTAAGTCTATCCGCGAATTCTACCTCTTGAAGTGTAAGCTGTTCACGCATGAGCTCTAGACACTCCTCTCGTGTCTCCATTTCTATTTCTGCGCAACGCATTTCAGCTTCAAGCCACCTCTCTTTCATTTCTTGAAGTTCTGAGAAAAGGAATTCAGTGAATGGGTCATTTTCATCATCGCTATCCAACTCGCTTCCCTCTTCGTCGTCATCTGTGAGATTGCTATCTGTATCTGGCTCATCTTCCATAGCTATACTTTGATCCCCGACTTCAACGTTAACGAACTTTTCGGACAAGCTTTCGTCGCTTCCTTTGATCGCTTTTGGTTGGCTATGATGAGTATGACCGATCCTCTCCCTAATTGCCCCTAATGTGTCTTTAATTGTGGTATTCACCTTCTTTGGTAACATTGAAGAAGGTGCTTTTGAGACTGTTACATCACGAGCTACAGCTGAGAACTTCATCACGTGAGATGTCTCCATGAAGGATGTGTCGAATGGGTTGCAATGTACCAACATAACTGCTTTACCATCCCCTACGAAGAAGGATTGGAATATTTCTGTTAACTTGGAGTGTCTAAAAGGTACAGGAACTGGCTGTAAATTTATGTGAGATGTGTTCATGTTTCTCCTAATATTCCTTCAACTTACCTTTTTGCTCTCTTGACGACGTTGGTTTGTACGAAGAGTCTCCATACATTGACCCAAAACCATCAATGATTTGTTAATGTTACCGGCTTCACGAAGACGCTCGCCTGTGTTTCCAGTGTTCTTGCTTCTTTCCGAACCAGCTAAGTCAACAAGAGAGAGTCGTGAAAATGAAACGGCATTTGGATCCTATGAGTTGTCAACGAGTGTCTTTTGAATAACAGCTGCTTACTCTCTGAGCTGCGCCATGTACTCTCATAACGCGAATGTTGAAAATTGAATGAGAGCGGCTACTAGCTCTGTTTGCAAGCGTTGAGAACACTTGTCTGTTGTGAGTACCAAGTTCGAGAAGGGCTCTCGCTTGCTATTAGGTTTTTGTTAAACAAGTAAAATAAATTGTCTCGGCTCCCACCTCTGGTGAATCACAGCGGACCTCTCTTAAACCTTCAATATACTTTGCATCAGCATCTCTATCGCTTCTCAAACCGAGCGCTTTACGCTTGACAACAATTGTTGTCTTCTTTGATGCAGCTGTTCCCATACTGCCTACACTGTTACTAGGTTGAAGATTTGACGTAGAAGGCAAGCTCTCCAACAAATCATAAACCTTTTCATTATAGATTTCAGCAAAAGATATCCAAATCGCGTACTTGTAATTCTTGTCGAGATCGAAAGACATATCCTCAGATTGTGATACTGATGATGGTTTTCCTGGGAAGACATCATGGAAGAATTGTGCATGTTGGTTACGATGTCCTGATAATCCAGAAAGAATACTTCCGTGTGGTGACTGACGCGTACTCTCAACCGCTGAGACCTTTGAAGGTCTAAAGTCGTGATTTGCTTTCAATTCACCAATGCTGTTGAAGATAACATCGAGTGTGCGTGGAATAATACCCTCTTGACCCTCGCCCTGACCACCTTGCATGGAGTATGTCTTACCCGAGTTGGTAACACCATAAGCAAAAAGGAGAGCATTTTGAGATTTAAGGAGCACATCCTCAACAAGTGGCAGAGTTGTTTGTTTGAAGAAGTCAGATTGTGATGACGACAGTTGTTTTCTTTCTTTCGACGCGGTAGATGGCATATCTGATAAGTTTGGATGGAATACCTTTGTGAAGGCGTATCTTTCAGAACTAATACCAGTACCTAGGGATAGTCTACTACCGCCCAATAAAGAATCTGGCGGAGCTGTCAACTCAACCTGAGTTGGGCTAATAACTTGTAAGTAAGGGTCGCTAAGTGAGCGATCTCTGTTACCCGCATCAGGGTTTCTGACGCGTAAATAAGTCTGTGATTTATGTCAATGGAGTTGTGTTGGGCTGACGACTCAACCCACTTTGATAGGCTCTTTTTCTGGAGAGTACTGTGCAATAGAGAGTTTACCCCTATAATTTGTAGTCGTGCGCCTCTTCTGACCCTCTGCTACGACGACTTTACGAGCTGCATTCGTCGCTGCAGTCGCTGTCGTCGCTGGCGCTCTACCAAGCGAAGGAGATAACAAAGCGTGAGCAGATTTTAGCGGTAATTTTGAAGGTGACGCTGGCTGCTTTTTCGCTTGTGACCGCGTTGTTCTCATCGTTAGCCTCAAAGAAGTTAGGCGCGTATTTTGATCTCAAACTCAAACGACGATGGACGGGGATGTGTTAGTAAATGCACCAGTTGTTATAGATAACGTAATATTTTTATTATCTTTTTATAAATATATCTCTGATATCTCGATAAGGGCTCTGGTACTATCAAAGCTGGGTTCGCAGGCGAAGATCACCCTAGCTGCTTCTTTCCTGTAAGTGGAGGCGATTTGTTGAGAGATACACAATTTATAAGGCCATATTTAGTCACAGTAAGTGCGCATCTCTAATAATCTCCCCTCTAATGTGGTTCCCAGCGTTGGTAGACCAAAACATGCGAGAGTTATGGCTGGTAGCTTAGAAGGAGAACAATTCATCGGAAGGAAAGCACAAGAACTGCGCGGTTTACTCAAAATTAAATACCCAATGGTCGGCTTATCTCCTAATAGAGTGCACATACTAACGTTACATAGGAGCACGGAATAGTGACAGATTGGGAAGATATGGAGAAAATCTGGTCTCACATCTATACAGATGAACTCAAAGCTCTCTCTGAAGAACATCCCGTTCTGCTCACGGAAGCTCCACTCAATCCGCGACAAAATCGAGACATCGCTGCACAAATATTCTTCGAAACCTTCAACGTACCAGCTTTGTTCACATCAGTACAGGCAGTCCTTTCGTTGTATTCTTCTGGTAGAACAACAGGATTGGTTTTAGACTCAGGTGATGGTGTTACCCATGCCGTACCTGTATATGAAGGTTTCAGTATGCCACATGCTATCAGAAGAGTCGATGTTGCGGGAAGGGATGTCACCTACAACTTGCAAATGCTCCTAAGGAGGTCCGGATTCAATTTGACGACGTCAGCTGAATTAGAAGTTGTGAGAACAATCAAGGAGAAGTGTTGCTACGTTGCTCTCAATCCACTTAAAGAGGAGAAAGAGGCTGCTAGTAGGGGTGACAATGCACGCAAAGAAGAATTCAAGCTACCTGACGGTAATACAATCAAAGTGAGTGTTTGTTTTACTATTGAGCCCATCTGATGAGAAATAACCAGCTGGGTCCTGAAAGATTCAGAGCTCCAGAGATTCTCTTCAATCCAGAGCTAGTCGGCTTAGAGGATGCAGGTGTGCACCAGGTCGTCGTTGACTCAATAAACAGGTCAGATCTTGACCTTCGGAAGGCCTTATTTGGAAACATAATTTTATCTGGTGGATCAACCTTAACGAAAGGTATGCTGAAGTTGTTCAAAAGCTCTTGTCTCACACATACTAGGCTTCGGTGATAGATTGTTGGCAGATGTCAAGCGACTAGCACTCAAGGATGTCAAGATTAAAATATATGCTCCTCCTGAACGTAAATACTCAACATGGATCGGTGGTTCTATTTTGGCAGGTTTGAGTACATTCAAAAAGGTAAACTCGCCCCTCTTAAAGTAACATAGCTGACAACTAGTATAGATGTGGATATCAGCTGAAGCATTTGCTGAGGACCCAGATATAGTACATAAAAGAGCCTTCTAGGCACAGATTAATTTATACCCAATTATATTATATGTGCAAATGATATAAATAAATATAATTTTGTTAGAGCTTACACATGTTTAAATACATCGGTAGGAATTCCCGCTAGTTCCTCATAATGAAGCTTTGATAATGCTGCACTTTTAACTAAACTTAAGTAGCTAGCAAGTGTGTTTGAACCAGCGACGCCTTTCTTGCTGAGTGATGTTGATCGTCTGACGAATTCGAGGTAGATGCAGTAGCGTTCATCAGCGACAGTGTTTGCGAGATTGAGTGCTTCGTCGATGTATCTTAAATGCATTATTAGCGGGATCAGTGGTAGACAGTAATATTACTCACCTAATGTGAATTGATTTCGCTGAGTATAATGAGCTATGCAATCTATGTACCAACTCAGGAATGTAGATTTCTCTGATTCTTTCCAACTCTGCGACTCTCTTTTCGTGAGCATCTGCACCTAGTCTCATCCATTCAGTAGTGAAGATATCCATAGTCTTCTCCTTGACAATATGTGTGAGTGCCTTTTGGTGTTTTCGTTAGATAGAGATAGTTTCAGATTGCGATTACTCACCTCAACCTGATCTGACCAGGCTTTATAGTCCAACTTGGCGACTTTATTGGTATCAGGTTGCAAAGTCCATAATTCAACAAGCTTTGTGTGACTGTCTAATAATTCAAACAATTGCTGATAACCACTATACTCGACTATTTGATCATCAATGCTTATCATATCATCCTCCTCAGTTTTGCTGTTTGGTTGGTAGGCCATCAAGTCGGCTGGTAGCGACTCAAGTAATTTGAAAGCAGCTGAAACATTTCCACTTGTGAGGAAGTATCTCATGAGACCATTGCTCTGTATTAGTGCATATCTATATGTTTCTTTTGCAAAGATTAACCATTCTATCGACCTCACTAAGGACAGATCTTTATATGATAATCCACTGGTGTTTGCAAATGCGGTAATATCCGGTGCGTCTATTGGTATTTCAGGTAATCTTGCGAATGTATCAATAAGTGTGAGTTCAACTGTTCTGCAAGCAACTCTCTCCAAATCGAGACCATGCTCAAGGGTTTGTAAAAGAGCAGCTTTTCTAACATCAATTGGTGTTGCAATGTCAAGTGAATAGAGGTAATGTGCGAATGACTCTCCACCTGCGCCTTCACCGAGGCAACCGGCATACATACCAACCAACTCTTTACTTTCATTACGTTGTTCAAGGGTGCGTACATAAGCTTCCAAAATAACCTCAGCAGGACCATTTGGAACATCCTCACTTGGGTTTTCTCCGTCAATTGCACGAAGGAATAAAACCAAGTGTGCGAAGAATCTCAGAAGGTGTGCAAACGCATCTGGTGATAGCATAGATGCTGTTTGTTGAATTTGTGATGCAAAGTTGGTCAAAAGGTGACTGGTTCTTTCCAACATGACGTTTGTTTGGGTGATTCTGAACGGATTATGTGCTGAATTACCAACATCTCCACCGAGTTTGAGGATCTCCTCGAAAATTCCCTCTAAATCTTCTGCAACTTGCTCTCCTTCTTGTGCCTTAACTGTGTCAACGTTGTCATACCAATAACCACCAGTCTTTTTGAGTGAATCATCTATCTTTCTTTCCATGAGAGCATTCACGCGTGCCCAAAGATGATCCTCCCAACTGTTGCAAACAGGTAACACGGAAGATAATGAACCGGATAAGCAACCATAGAGTGCTCTTTCGTAGGGATCAAAGTCAGGGTTTTCACTTAATTGAGATGCTATTTGTTTCCATAATTTACGTTGCTTGTTTCCTGAAATACCATTGTTGAGTGCGATTTCTTCAGAAGCTAATGAGGGATCGTCCCATAGTTGACCACCACGTAAACTAGCCGCACGCCAAGGTTGATCGGAAGAACGACAAGCGTCTAAAGCCAAATCCATCCTTCCTAGTCTGACGTATTCGAAGAGGGTACGCGTGAGGGGTTTATCGTATTGGCTATCCTCAACGTCAAGCTGTTTGTGTTGACGAACTGGTGCATCTGGATCCAAAGACGTTACCAACCCAGTGGTTGTGTTACCCTGTCTGACAGCCAATTTGAGCTTGTTCTTTGTGTATGTTTGATAACCTTTGCGAATTTCCACAGGGTATAGAGGTGTAGGGATGTTATGAAGCCACTGTCTAATCGCATTTAGCTCCATCAGTTCCTTCGACTGAGAAATCAAGGGTTGAGTGAGTGTGAGTGGGGGGGTGTACTTGTTTGCTGCTAAGATTTCCTTGGCGGATAAGCCATCATCTAATCCATTTAAACGGTCATCATACAATGCATGTATGAGATTCCAGGTATTCCTCTCCAAAGACCAGGCTTCACGCTCACTTTGATCGATATTAGTTTTCAAGATCTTCTCGCAAAGCTGAGCAAATAAATCTGGTAGCTCTAAGACGCTATTCGATTGGTTGTTAGAGATTTCTGATAAAATCCGCGCGAAGTCTTGGTAGACCGTCATCGTCGTTTGCTAAGAAGCTTCTTTGCGTTCAACCACCAAGAAGTCGCTATCAAATGAAATGAATAAATTGGGTGGAATAGCTGGTATACTTATTTTTGTATCATCACTCATCGCCTACGCTGCGGAGACTGAGCTAGCACAAGTTGTTCAGTCACGGTTGGGCTACTCGAAACCGTACTTTATGCTATGGCTAGCCCATTCTAGCTTTAGTTTCTGTCTACCTTTACACTTACTTCTCTTGAAGCTTACGTCTAGCGTACCATCCAGACTTTATCTCAGGGGGCTAGCACTGGCAACCCGCAATGAACTCACCCCAGACGCACCACAGCCTTCAATTGGCGCCGGCTTTTGGGATATCCTCCCATTAAAGACCAGCTTAGTTAGAATGTTTCTTCTCACGGGTCTGGCTACCTTCGCAGCTATCTGCTGGTGGGTATCTGTCAAGTACACGACGTACGTGTCAAACAGTACATTGATCTTTACAATAATTAACGACTACATAGCGTCGCAGATCTCACTGCTATTTGGAATAGGTGAGTTCGCCTCCACACTACATCACTCACCTGATAAGCTCACAGCTCGGCTTTCTGGGCATACGTATTTGCTGTGTACATTCTCGGAGAAAAACTTCAGAAGTCGAAACTAGGCGCCGTCCTCTTGGCATGCTCTGGTGTCGTACTCATTGCTGTGAGTTTCTCACCTGATATGCTACCTCACAGCTAACAATGTCAGTATGGCGGTGAAAGATCCTCCCGCGATGACCCGCTCGAAGATGGTGAAGTGCGGCCAAAGTTCTCGGCGGTATTGCTCGGTGATTTACTGGTCTTCATTGGCAGTGTCACATTTGCACTGTTTGAAGTCTGTCTGAAAAAGTATGCAAGTATCTCAGAAAATGATGATGAAAAGGATGTTCTCGATGACCAATCAGACGCATTTAGCTTTGGTAGCATAGAATCTGATGATGATGTTGAATCACAAAAGAAGGCTAACAGCCGCGAAAATTTCCACGACAACGAAGAAAGCGATGAACTATATAACAAAAATATACACGAACACGAAGATGAAATGAATGATACCCACAACGCTCAACGGCCGGGTTCAATAACCCACTCAAATTCCGCATCACCACTGATCAACAACGCTGACAGCGGTAATGTTCATCGGATGCAATTTGAGAGAACTGAAAGTTCTGCTAGTATATCCACATTAGCGATACACCCTCCTTTTGGCCTGTATCCGAACCTTGTTAGTACGACGATAGGATTGATTACATTCTTCACCCTCTGGCTTCCGATTCCAATTTTACATTGGATTGGCTGGGAGAAGTTTGAATTACCTCCATCGGGTGTTGCTTATGGATACATCACGGCAATGATAGCATTCGGTATGATTTTCAATGGTGCATTTATAGTAGGTGAAATTGTGATCTTAGGGGGGGTATGTCTGACGATAACACTTAGGCATTATGTTTCATATGGGGTCCTGTGATGGCATCCGTCGGTGTGAGTAGTATTTCGTTACTGATATTTATCTAACGCAACCTAGTCGCTCCTCACAATCGTATTAGTACAGATTGTTGATGTACTTGTAAATCACGTACCTCTCACACTATTCAGTGTGCTGGGAGGCTCACTTATTATACTAGGTTTCGTTCTACTTGTAATCACCTAATAGTACTTCACGCAAGTCGCATATAATAAGAACTGAATTGATATATTTGATAGTTGCATATAATATACAAGATAGCTACTACCTTGCGATGCGATTTTGTACAAATCATCGCATTATCGAGAACCGTGTTTAACGTGTATCAAGTATAGTACACCGATGTTCTTAGTGTCTGTCTAATCCAGCCCTTCAAAATTATTAAAATTTGCTCCTGTTTTGGATAACTCGAAATTATGTACATTTCTGCTAAGCTGAGATTCGCTGTTTACTTATTCTAGGACTAGCTTCTGATAAGTACTTGCTCAGAAGACAGAACCAGTTATGTGCCTTGACTAAACAAAACAGCATTTACAGCGTCTTAGAGTGACGCTGCAATATGCTACAGATAGAAAGAATAAGGAGTAGGAGGTGATATTATGCTACTGTTGTAGATTTACTATGTATCATGCTGCCTTTATACACGTAATTACTCATACTTATTTACAAAGACATGCTGCTTTAGAAAACAAAGTCAAGTCTTTCAACTAGAATAAAGTATATTGTTGACAACGTACCTTTTCGATATATAGAACTCTTGTTTGTAACGATGTATTGTTTAGGTTTATCATGATCGTCGCTCTACCCTGAACATCATTTTGGGCGTTTGAGCTCCACAAAGTATTATGCATTACGCATATAATAGCTATTTTTTAACAATTCCGCAAGCTAGAACTGTCTATTTTGATTCACTCTGATGTAATATATTGTACGTACGAAAGATATACCAAGTAAGGGAAAATGATGAAAACCTAAAAATTCGTTCAATATACATGGATATGTCGCTTAACTATCTCTACTAGTCTAAATGTTTGTCGCATCTTTTGACGCGATACCGCTCCATCCCGAAATTAGTACGCGGGGCTTCCATTGGATCAACTTAGCGTCACTCTACCCCAAATGAAAACATATCAATCATGGTGTATTCTTGGTAGCATTCTTAGTCGTATTTATAATGCCTAACTCGTCAATTGTCCACACTTTAGTCGGAAACCCGAAAATTTTATTTCGTTAATACAGACAAATTAGCGAAAATGTTAGGTTTCTGAGAGGATTAAAACGTTGTAGCTTTCTAAGGTTTGCATTCATTTTTTTCCGTATAACTACTCGAATTTCATTGGTTTCCCTTCCTTCTCTCAAACCACTCCAAGAAAAATGTCAGAGTTCAAGGCAGGTAACGCAGCAAAGGGTGCAGGATTATTTAAGACAAGATGTGCGCAATGCCATACCGTCGGCACTGGTGAAGGCCACAAAGTAGGCCCAAACCTCCACGGTATCTTCGGTAGAAAGTGAGTTTTAGCACCACACAGCGTCAACGCGCTAACAGAGGGCAGGACCGGTCAAGCTGAAGGCTACTCATACTCAGACGGCAACGTCAAGAAGGGTATCACCTGGTCAGAACAAACCTTGTTCGAGTACCTTGAAAACCCAAAGAAGTACATTCCAGGTACTAAGATGGCCTTCGCTGGTCTCAAGAAAGCCAAGGACCGTAACGACCTTGTCACCTGGCTCGTAAGTAATCTTTTTAGTAGCGCTACACCCTCTGACGCGACCTCTAGAAAGAATCAACCGCTTAAAAATATAGAATGTAATAAGCTTATAAAAATAATAAATGAACTCTCTACTCTATGGTCTAGATACGTTGGATTAGCCGGATTTAGACACTCCTGGTCTTAGATTTATCTAGGAAGATCTTTTGTGATACGTTTCTGAAACACCTTTATAGAGTTTTTATGTCTCAATCAGCATAGGTATTGCTCTTAACTATGCGTTGCACGTGCGTATCTGTGAATTACGCGTTTTATTTACCTTTTGCATCATTAGACTCATTTCAGCCAATCAAAATGCATGTTTAAGTAATATGCAGAGTTTATACAAATAATGGTATATAAATGTTAGTGGATATGATAATAACTACTGATTATTATAGTTACGGTGTTGCAGGCATTTTGCTCATTGAAATTGTCCAGAAAGTGTCCTAGTAGAGATGATACAACAGAATTGAAGAAATTGTGGGAATTAGATACGTAAGCGTGTAATATACTGTGAATCTTCTTGTAAAGAAGCAAATTAACACTTCCTGAGTGAGTTATCAATGAGCTCTCCATCATGAGGTAGCATCAATTCGCAAAGTCTGCGCTGGTACGTGAGATCGAATGAGATAATATCCACTATGTCCCCTTCAAATGTATTAGTAAATGCGACTAGAGCGATCTCATGTACAACGCTGATAGCAGGGTGAGCACCTGTTGCCTTATTTCCTGGGAATTCGAGAGATACAGGTGGAATAGACATCTTCACAATCTCTGGGGGATAGTACCTCATTATGGCACCCCACTTTCTGCCCATGTCGTAGAGTGATGATGTAAGACGAGGGTGTTTACTAAATAAGAAGACATCATGGACTAGCGTTGTTAAGTGTTACGCATTTTCAAGAAAATCTTACTCACTACTATGCACTGATATATCAAAGAGCTTTATGTCTATAATCTTAGTCGTTGTCCTCGAGCGTGTAAAGACTGTGTCTAACGCTGGATTGACAAGACGTTGTACCATGTATTGAAAGATATTTGTAAGGTTGGAACTTTCACATTTCAGCCTTAAATCAGCCCGGTTCACTTTTATCAACAATGGCCCTTTCACAAACGCACTCAAATGCATATCTCCAAAATTAAAGATAAAATACTATGTGAAAGAGAGAACAATGGGAATTTTTCGGGCACTACTATTGGTTGATATGTTGTGCCTTTTGAATTCATTCGTTAGATTGCCTTTGTTTCTCTACACCAATAAATTTTTAGAAGCAAGATAGGAATATAACACTTTAATGACATGTAGCAACGTTGTATATATTTGCGCCCCACTGCGCATCTAAGGGTATGTTGATCAGTGTGTCACAGTTTGTACGTTGGAGGATCGGCATTGATCCCCAGTTCGGACTAGTTATAAGGTGGTAAACCGCTTTAATAAACCAGATGCTCTATCTGACCTCTTTAGGTGCGCTGCTTCACTCCATGTAGACCCTATCTGCACAGGACTGCGCCAGAGGGAGGAATTACCTATAACCGTAAACCCCTAAAGAAACGTAAATTATATTAAAAATCCACGCGTTACGCAAACAACTACCCTTAATTGAGACACGGACTATCTTCACGCAGCAGATCAGCTTTGTAACCTAAACAGCCATCATCTGCATACATGATGAACAGAAATAGCAGGAGGAAAGCTAGGAGCTTGGATTTGGGTGTTGGTTTTGACGATAACGACTTCAAATTGCATAGATCATGGCATAGTCGGCTGTCTTCCTTCAAGTACTTGCCCACGAATAGATATAGTATCACATATGCAACCATTGGTTTTTTGTAGGTAAATTATACACTTAGAAATTATCTTATCCGCGCTTAGGATATTCGCTCTCTCTCTTACAAAGTTCCTTATGTGGTATCTCAACCCAGACAAAAATCCACTACCTTGGCGAACGTACTGTCAAGATACTTTGTCATTCCCGCACGAGTTGGCGGATAGCCTCGCACCAGTAACGATTTTGGTTGGTGTAATGTCTATAGATCGATCCGCGGAAAGGCGAAACGTTATACGACAGACATATGCTAGGAAGGCATCACCGAGGGATGGCACCCACGTACAGGTTATATTCTTTATAGCACGGTCGCGTCCATCGCTTAGACACGCTATACATCTCGAGCAAGAAACATTTGGAGATCTGGTTGTTCTCGACATGAAGGAGAATATGAATTCTGGGAAGACGTTTGAATTCTTTAATTGGGCATCAAAACATGCGTGGATACCTGACCCCGCTACACTCCCTAGTCACCTCATTAGTTACCCATCTGCATACAACCATCAAGATACTAATGCACATGAAAGAGTTATTCAACAACCTAATGAGGATGGTTTTGATGTTAAATTGGATAATCTACGTAAGGAGTACCAACGAGGATACCAAAGAGATCATCATGATATCAACAACGATGATCCCTCTCAACACATATCTAATTACGTCCCTGGCACGGGAGTTAAATACAAAAGACCAGATTTTGTCGTGAAAGCAGATGACGATAGTTTTATTATATTAGGTGAACTCGAAAGACATTTGCGCATATTACCAAAAAAGTTGGTTTATTGGGGATACCTTATCAAGAATAGATTCATGGGTGGACAAGCCTACGCATTGTCATTTGATTTAGTGGAGTGGATTGCCTCGAATAATTTCACCAGGGGTCACCAAATCGGCGCCGAAGACAATTTGACAGCGAGATGGATGAAGCATCATCCTAAGGCAAATGAAATTAACTGGGTTAGTGAGAGGTGTTGGATCTACAATCATCCAAGAACACATACCGTCTACAGCCATGGGTTTTTGTTCCCAAGTGAGGTCACAAGAGTTAAAGAGGAAGCTATACCTGGATCAGTGAGTATTGATGAACAAATACGGCGAGGTCAAGGAAATAGAAACCATTCAGAAGCATACTCGACTGTGTTTAAATGGGGAAAAGAATACGAGGAACCACGTAAACATCTCAGTGTGGTAGATCGCGTGGCTGCACTAGTTGAAGGTGCCGACGAGAGTTTAAACTCTGAGGAGAAAAAGCATGGAGTGGTAGGCCTACCAAGACAATCGCTATCTGAACGATACGAAGGTCGACCATGGGGTGGCACAATAATTGTCCATTTCATCAAACGACATGAATGGTTTTATGAAACAGCCTTGGCATTCCTTACAGATTGGTCACTTATACCACATTCAAAACCTATTGCATCAAAGAATTACTGGACTAAGACTAACGCGTTACATAATAAAGATGACGACTTCGATCGACAAAGAGGATACAGACTAATCGATATCACAGATGGAGCTGACGTCTACAGATTCCGAACGTCTTTGGAACCTTTTCCAACTAATTAAAAACTTGTATAAGGAATAGAAGAAAACATACCCCTCGAACAATTTTACAGTTAAATCTAGTTGCTCTATATTGTAATTCTATAATAGCATTTTTGTTAGTTTTTTAAATTACTGCTTTATTATAAATTATATACAGTACGCGTCATCGTCCATACGTCTTGATTATCTACCACGATGAGTAGTTTGACGACAGCAGCAGGTATATTATCCTTATTAGATGAGGATGATATAACGATAAAAACACACGCATTAACTTCCCTAATTGGTGTCGTAGACCAATTTTGGGCCGAGATATCTGATTACGTGGGTAAAATGTGAGTAAACTGGTAGAAGCTAGTGGAATTTTTAATACTAACAACTACAATAGTGAATCCCTCAGTGAAGACGAGAAATTCAGCCCGGATTCGAGAAAGTTAGCTGCGTTGATTGCATCAAGAGTTTACTACCATTTGGGCGCAATAGACGACTCCCTTAGTTTGGCATTGGGTGCTGGAAGCGCATTTGATGTTAGCCAATCAAACGAATTCGTAGAGACACTCATCAGCAAATCGATTGACACATACGTACACCTCCGCCAAAATAATGAAAAAGTAGACAGTAGATTGGAGAATATAGTAAATAGAATGTTTGATAAGTGCATTTCTGATAAAGAGTACAAGCAAGCAGCTGGAATCGCTTTGGATAGTTTGCGCTATGATATAATCGAAAAGGTCTTCAATTTGTCGAAGGATGTCAACATTTTAAGATACGTTATGGAAGCTACATCTGACGTTATAGTCTCATTAGAGCAACGTCAAGTTATTTTCAAACTACTTGTCAAATTATTCAGCTCCAACATTCTCAGTTCACCTGATTACTTCTCTATAACACAATGTCATCTTCTCCTCAACGATGGTAAATTAGCTGGTGAACTCCTTGATAACCTCATCAAGAGCAACAAGAAGGAAAACACTTTGATTGCTTACCAAATCGCTTTCGATTTGGTAGATACTGCTTCACAAGATTTCCTCAGTCATGTAACTAACGTCGTCAAGGAAGGTGAAGGCGAGACTTACGACAAATTGAAAGAAATTCTCAGCGGAACACTCTCAATAAGACTCAACTTGGAGTTCCTCCATCGTAACAACAAGGCTGATCCCCTCGTACTCAAGAACACAAAGGAGTCACTTGATGGCAAATTCTCCTTATACCACAATGCAGTATCATTTGCCAACGCTTTCATGCATGCTGGTACAACCAATGATACATGGTTGAGAGATAATCTAGAGTGGTTAGGTAAAGCCAACAATTGGTCAAAATTCACAGCTACTGCCGCCCTCGGTGTTATTCACAAAGGTAATCTCAACCAATCAATTCAGCTTTTAGAACCATACTTGCCAGGTGCTACATCACATGCATCTGAATATTCAGAAGGTGGTTCATTATACGCTCTTGGATTGATACATGCAAACAATGGTGGTCACTCACTCAACTTCCTTTTGGATCACCTCAAGCGTGTTGGTGCAACTGAGGTTGTTCAACATGGTGCAGCACTTGGTTTAGGTATTGCTGGAATTGCAACCAAGAATGAAGAACTCTACACTGAATTGAGAAACGTTCTCTTTAGTGACTCAGCAATTGCAGGTGAAGCTGCTGGATATGCTATGGGATTGATCATGTTGGGCACAGGCAATGAGAGTGCTTATGAAGAGATGTTGCAATACGCACATGAAACGCAACACGAGAAAATTATCAGAGGTTTGGCTATCGGTATCGCTTTCCTAATGTACGGACGTGAATCTGAAGCTGATAAAGTAATTGAAAACCTTTTGAATGACAAGGTGAGTTGAGTGGTTTGGATGATTTTCCTTTTTTACTGATATCATCTCAAGGACTGGATATTGAGATATGGTGGTGTATACACCATTGGTTTGGCCTACGCAGGTACTGGTAACAACAAAGCCATCCAGAACCTCCTCCATGTCGCCGTTTCAGACGTTAATGATGATGTAAGAAGAGTAGCAGTTATTGCACTCGGTTTCATTCTCTACCGCAACCCAAGTCAGGTTCCAAGATTAGTTCAACTTCTGTCAGAATCTTACAACCCACATGTTAGATGTGGTGCTGCAATGGCTTTGGGTATAGCATGTGCAGGAACAGCATTGGATGTAGGTTATTTTGAACCGTCCACTTAGCACTCACTAACAAACCACTAGGACGCTATTGAACTTCTTGAACCATTATCAAAAGACCCAGTTGATTTCGTCAGACAATACGCTTATATTTCCCTTGCTTTGGTATTAATCCAATCGAATGAGCAAAATGCACCAAAATCTAAATCAATTAGAGAACACTTTGCTAAGGTCGTCAGTGATAGACATGACGAATCAATGGCCAAGTTTGGTGCAGCTATCGCTCAAGGATTGATTGACGCCGGTGGACGTAACTCAACAATTTCAATGCAATCAAAGAATGGATCAACGAATATTTCTTCTTTAGTTGGTATGACCTTGTTTACCCAATTTTGGTTCTGGTTCCCATTAGTTCACTGTATAAGTTTGAGTTTCACACCAACATCATTAATTGGATTGGACGCTGAACTTAAAATACCTGAGATGGAATTTGTTAGTAATGTTAAACCATCACAATTTGCCTACGTTAAGGCATTGAAACCACCAACAAAGGAAACTGCGGAGAGAGTTGCAACTGCTGTATTATCAACAACAGCTCGCGCTCAAGCACGTCATAATAAAGCCAAGAAAGAGAAAGAGGAAGCTGAAGGTGGCGGAGATGTCGAGATGGAAGAAAAGGAAGAAAAGGAGGAAATTACAAATGAAGAAGAATCAAAGAAGATTGAGGTTAAAGAACCAGAACCAGAATTTGAAACTAAGAGTAATTTATCAAGGGTGACACCAAACCAAGTACCATTCATTGTTTTCTCAAGTGACGGACGTTATACACCAGTTAGAAGCGTTTCACAAGTTCCAGCAACTACAAGAGTTAATAATGGTAGCGGATCATCTACACCAGTTTCAATAAATAGAAGAACGCGTAGACCAACGATATCGTCAATATATAGTACAACACCAGCATCAGCAGGTGGTGCAGGTATTCTCATCCTTAATGATCATAAAGAAGGTGAAGAAGTCAAGTACATTACACTTGAAGCAGGTGGTGGACAAGGTGGTGTAGGTTCGACGACCGCAGCTACAACAAAGGATCAAGGAGGTGTTGATGATGGTATTGAAATTGATAATCCACCAGAGGCATTTGAATTTAACTTTGATCAAAGTAGATAAAAAGAAATAAAATGTTTTAATAAATTTATTCTACAAAACTCTCTTATTTTACGTTATGTTGATTGATTTCTAAGAGAAAATCTTCAACCGTGTTCCAATATTTTCGATCCAAACAAGTATCATTGTGAGTACCATTTGGAAAAGATTTGAAACTGGATATTATACCATCTTTAACGGAACTTTGATGAATGTTATGGAGCTTTCTCATATGTGATACAGGTACGATCTCATCTTGTGTTCCAGATAAGAAGAGAATATGTGTCTTTATTTTCTTAATTGATTGTTCACTATTCCAAATTTCAGTACAGAGGAAGGTGAAAGGACGAAGTAGAGGTAATAATGTGGGTATAAGTGATGGTATACTTCTAAAGGTGTTCTCAAGAATAAGTGCGCTGATGTCATCAGGATGATTGCTTGCAAGATCAATACATACAGCACCACCTATTGATTGACCGTAGAGTATAATTTCATTATCTCTCGTTAGTTCCTCCTTTTTTAAGTATCTTAGTGCTACTTCTGCATCCATCCGTAATCCACTTTCTGAAGGTTTACCTTCACTCTTACCATATCCTCTGTAACTGACCATAAATACGTTATAATTGAATCTCTTATAAAACACCTCCGCGAGTGGTAATCTATGTCCCTTTGAGTGTATGAGCAAGTTAATTCTTGCTAACAGTCTCGCACCTACCATATTACCTGCATTCGCATGGAAAAACAAAACAGTTGGGGTTTTCACCGCTTTATCCGCTTGATGAAGGAGATAACAATTAATTTTATAACCATCTGATAATAGTGTTACATTCTTATATGGTATATCATATAAATCGGGTGTATCAACAAATTCACGTGAGTTGGCTGGTAAATTCGCAGGGTAAATTAAAGAAGTTTGATAGAGGTATAACAATAAACCAGTTGAACTAAAGGCTATGACGGTTAAACTAGAGAGTATTTCCAGATAATTCATTCTGTGAATAAACTAAAACTTCAGTTATTGTGTTGTAATCTTTATTTTTTATTTTGAACTTCTCCAAGTTGAGAGGTGTATCTAAAGAGAGAGAGTTGTTGTGAATTTGATCATCACCGTCGCTGTCGTCATCAAGTAGATTGTCTAAAATTGTATTAACATCTGTTTGTATATCTAATGGCGTAGACGGTTTAATATCATCGTTGATATTTTTAGACTTCTTTATTGGTTTCGATTTACGTTTGATATCATTATTGACGAGGTAATTTCGTTGTATGTGTGTCTTACAGGATAACTGATTCGACATGTATTCAAGGCATTCTAAAGATGACATCATGTCTTTATAGTTTAGACCAATTAATTGACCATCGTCGAGTACGCCAATTTCGTATAAGCATTTTCCATTACCTTCTAATAATCTAAACTTCAACTGAGTTATGTACTTGTCGATTCTATCTTTATTTGAAGATAATGATAATTTATACTTGTACTCGACATTCCCAGTGTCTGTTTCTTCCAGCAAACTTTTGTAAGGTGCAAATTCACAATCAATATCAGGCCATAGACTCATCATCGTCGTCGCAATCAAAGAAGTAAAATTTCAATTACAAAATTTAGTCAAAGAGACCGAGACCCATGTCGTCGTCAGATTCTTCCTTGGCTTCTTCCTTCTTTGGAGCTTCTTCAGCAGCAGCTGCTGGTGCGGCACCGGCAGCTGGAGCTGCTGCAGCTGATGCTGATGGTACAGAGGCGAGCTTCTCAGTACCTTGAGCGATCAACTCTTCGAGGTTCTTGCCGTTCAACTCTTCAATGAGCTTGGTGAGGCGGCTTTCGTCTGCCTCAACACCGACGGTAGAGAGGAGCTTCTTGACGTCTTCAGCTGATGGGGAGGTGTTACCACCGACAGTGAGCAAAAGGTAGGCAGCGACGAGCTTCATCTGGGTATTGTCAGTGAAATAACCAAGCGAGAGCTTCTCTACTAACTTCTGAGTTAAACTGTTTAAAGGTAGAACCTGGTCAAACTCTTGAAAGGCGCTCGAGTTGCAAGAGAGAAGAAATATTCTGAAGATTTTAAAAAATCAATTTTTATACAACGATTAGAGAGATAGTAGTATTTAAATAAATATATTATATTATACATATAATGCCATATTAAGCATCCATACTAGCCATCTCAACTCCTTCGTGATTACAGAATATAGAAGAATATATAGAATTTTTCTATAATATTTCTATTCTCCTTTGTTAATATAGATTATATTTAAATAGTCGTTTAAAATCTAAAATTTTGCCAAATAATCTCCTCTTGTAATTTTTATACCTGCCTTAGCGAGAGACCGTGATGAGCGCCCAATACGATGGAACCACCAGCGCCGTAGAGGCAGTAAGTAGTTACTAGAGACTACAGCGCACTTCTCTTACTCTACCAGGCTGAGCTCAAGAAGCGCCGTACATTCCGCAAGTTTCAATACCGTGGTATTGAACTTGACCAACTTCTCGACTTGAAGAACGAGGAGGTGGGTACTACTAGATACCTAGGCTACCTTTACTAACACAACGTCTCAGTTCATGGACCTCGTTCACGCTCGTGCTCGTAGACGTTTCCAACGTGGTCTCAAGCGTGGTCCACTCGGTTTAATCAAGAAGCTTCGTAAGGCCAAGAAGGAAACCCCACCAAATGAGAAGCCAGCCGTTGTCAAGACTCACCTCCGTGATATGTTAGTCGTACCTGAAATGATTGGCTCACAAGTCGCTATTTACAATGGAAAGGTTTTCAACACCGTTGAAATCAAGCCAGAAATGACAGGTCATTACTTAGGTGAATTCTCCATTTCATACAAGCCTGTTAGACACGGTCGTCCAGGTATTGGTGCTACTAACTCTTCACGTTTCGTTCCACTCAAGTGAGTTTTTCATTTTTTTATGATTTGTTATCACTTCAAATGAATGCATTTCATGAAAAGTATTTTATTCTAGTTATTATAGCTATTATAGCTATCTAGCTAGTCAAATGGTATTCTCTTTACATTACTCTTCTGAGAGTAGGCTTCTCCAAAGGCTGATGGCACTGGTATTCCACAGCAGTCTGAACCGAATGTTCCATGGTGTTTTGTTCTGTCGACGTGTCCATGGTTATGTCCACAATCTGCGTCTTCCATTTTTGCATCTTCAGGCATTCCTTCAGGACATGGCAGTATACTACCAAACAAGAAGTGTTGTATAATAGGTAGTTTACCCAGTACCTCCGCTTTGTACATCTTAAACATCCCTTCATTCACCTTTGACCAACTTTTGACAGCTGAAATGTCATCCAACATTGGTGAATGCCAACGTAAAGATGCTGTCTTTATACTGTTAATGAAACTAATGCAACCTAAATACATGTACGCGCTTGAGAATTCGTACATGACTTCGTTATCGTGTATGCTCTTAGGACGGAGGTATTTATGACTACTGAGTTGTCCACTACCCCAAAGGAATGGCAAAAAGTGATAATCGTCAAGTCCCCATACACCGTGACTTCCTGCAGGTTCAAGCCAGAATGTTGATTGTAACTTACGCATTATAGTGATGTATCTTGGTAAATAAAATGTAAATAAACGTAGAGCTATTGTAGAGTTTACTCACCTCCAAAATATCCTCAATACTAATGCACTAGAGTCAGCATCCTCGAACAATCCCAATTTGTCAAGACATATAAGCCAGCATAAGAAGTTCAATTCCATTCCACTGCCATAATCGATACGTTGTTTGTTACCGAATGATTCATTCAAATATGGCGATAATTCAACGATTGATTCTCTCGGAATACCCAATCCACTGTGTAGTTCATCACTGTTCTGTGGTACTGTGAGTAAACAAAGCATACAAACTAGTCAACGCACTTCAACTAGCTTATCTATAAACGTTCTAAAGCCCGGGTTACCAAATCTTGATTGATTGTTCTCTATAGGAGGGCTTGCAGAAGCGATTTCGTCGATTTTATCTAATAACTGTAGTACTTTTATAACGCCCTTCTCAAATCAGTTTGTTAGATTACTTATACACGCCACACTCACGTCTGATACGTGAACCTCATCAGTCAACTTCACGTCAACTACCGCATTGTTGAGTTTATCTATAAATTCAACGATGGCGTTGAATGTACTAGACGATTTGAACAGCTGGAGGTGCTCGTCTAGCACTATTCTCTTCCTTGGAATCTCGTACATGATTGTCTTCTCTTATCAAGTTCACTATCGAAATAACAATAAATAAAATTATATATTAGAACAAAAAATCTATGCACTCGCTTCATGAAGTTGTAAAGCGCAATCTTCACCACCACTAGCGAGTATTTGAGAATCCCAGGCTAAACCGAGTATTTTCTTTTCATTTTCCTTCTTTCCGTTGGAGGGTTTTCTAACAACCGTGAATAATGATTGCTTTGGTGAACGTATATCCCATAATTTAATGTTACCATCCATACCAGCGCTTGCGAAGTGGTTAGGAGATGTTGGATGAGCGTGTATAGCCTCTACGATACTTGTGTGTCCGAGTAACTTTTGTGAAATGTTGCTGCTTGCACGCATATCCCATAAAGCAATACTACGATCGACATGTCCACTCACAATTGTCGATGGTGCGACAAGACTGTCCAAACAGCGGATGACGCTGCTACCAACCCGCGTGTCATTCTCTAACCCAACACCCAAATCCCAACTCTTGAGGCTATGATCTGCACCACCTGTGTATCCAACTGTAGGATCAGATTTGCTAAATGCTACACCGTTTACACTCCCAGTGTGTCCTCGCAATTGATGAAGAGGTGCCTTGCGTAATACGTCAACCGTCTTGGTCTTCTTACGCTTCTTTGTTGATGGTTCTTCATCTTCAATCTCAACTTCGTGGGATGATGGAATGTGGGTGTCCCAGAGACAAACCAAACCATCCCAATCTGCAGACAAAACTGTCCATGGTTCGCCCTCAGTCAATGGCTTAGCGGATCTAACTGACGATACTGCATTTTTGTGGCCTGTGTATGCCAACAACTGACTTGGCTTTCCTGATTCTGGTATATCCCACAACTTGAGTGTTGAATCTTGTCCAGCTGTTACAGCCTTATCACCAACCCAGGATAAATCCAAGACTGGTCCGTTGTGTCCAGCCAACTCGTAGATCTTTTCGTTCCGACTGTTCCATATGCTAGCTAAACCGTCGTAGCTTCCAGTGAGAAATTTAGCATCACTGTGGCTTCTTATTGATACACTAGAAATCCAATCGTCATGTAAATAGGTAGAGAGGTGCTTAGGTGGTAGTATAGAAGGTATGTAAGATAAATGTAAAGTTTCTTCCTGAGTGTTCGCCGTTAGAAGTTGTTTACTCTGCAGTGGATATACGTACACCATTACTTATTTCACTCAATACAGAGCTTAATTTACCACCTGTACCATCCTCACCAACAAAGAAATCGAATGGAATAGCTTTGCTGTTCTCTAACAAACTATTGATCAACTGTGAAAGCTGGTATCTCTTCCAGTTTGAAGGAATCATGTACATTTCCTCTGGAATTGCATGCTGGCTTGAAATTGAGTGTAAAATTACAGGCACATTATTCACTTTATCCTCTTCAGACATCGTTGATAGAGAATAAGAGCTTTAGTTTAGAAAAATGCAGATTCATAAAAAAATAATTTCATTCTTCTTCTTTTTCTCTTGTAGTCGCAAACATTTCGGTAGCTTCCCGTTTAGTTAGCAATTCAAACACCCTCGAGGCTTCCTCGACCGCTTTTTCAGAAGGTTCTACGAATGGCGCAAATGTAGTAGGTTCTTGCTTTATAAGCTCCACGTCTGTTTTTACATCAATTTCACGTTCCTCTTCGACGTAGACCATTAAAAATTCTATGTCTTCTCGCGATGTCGTCAGACTATTTATGTACCCCTCGAAGAGCTCATCAAGGGTGGCTTCTTCGTTATCTGATAAGGTTGCTGCAAAATAAACTATGTAGTATCCGGGAGGACATACACCTGATGTACTGCTTTGCCAATGTACATGCACGGCATTGCGTATTCCAAAGGCCATCGGTGGGTATCCCAATATAGGCGACTCAGGGAGTGGATCGACATTAGGCGGCATATTCAACACCATAACAGCTCTACCAATCTTATTGATCACCCTTGACGGCTGATTTAGGTATAAATTTTTCGCATTTGAAATTACTTTCTTTACTGTGAATGTTTCTTCGAAATTATGCAATCTCACGCTATACTCTGAATCGCACTTCTCTAAACTCTCTAAGGCGTGATTCAAGATGAATGTAGATCCATGTACTGCGCTAGACCTTTGTAATTGTGAGATGATTAATCGTAAGTGACCTCACATACCTGCAATATCCTTGTATTATATCGCCGACGCCGCCATATTGAGAATAGAGGAAACATGACGGTCCATACACACCATGTCCATTCATGAAGGTACTCATACGGTTAAAGGCCGAGTGGGTGTCTTCATCGAGGTTTATAGCCATTCCGAATGAGTATATAAGAGAGTAGAAAAGCGATATAGGTATCTCTGGTTTATACTCGGATAATTTCATATTTTCTGTTATGATTTAAGTTGTGTTACTTTCTTGCAACACCAACATACCTTCTTTGAGGAACTCCCTGGAGGCGATCCATTGTAGAAGCTTCATCAGCATTCTCTTGTCTTTCAGGCTGATCGTCGATTTGAATACTTCCTGCTTCGATTTGGGTATTTGAGTGAATTCGCCATCGTTGTAGTGTATTAAACTATCGACCAACTTAAAACTGAGATAGTTGAAAACGCTAGACTTGAGTATTGTATCCAATTGATTTGATTTACCTCTCTCGGTGAGTATTACCGAGGGATGTCGGCTGATAAGGAACTTATTTGGATTCTTGAGGTTGTTTATCTTTATAGTACTACTATCCAATTCAGTTATAGGTAGGGTGGCCCAATTATCGCCGTAATAATCATTTTTGTCTATATGTAAGCACTTGTATCCAGCTGAAGAGAGTGCACTGTTGTGATTAAGTAGGACTCCAGCAGGACTAGCACACTCACCTGGATAATATAGACTCACTATATCCAGTACCGACTATTAAAAAGTCAAATTTATTATCATTCATAAAAGATGTTGGTAGTTCAGTTACAAGAAATGTTCAAGTTAATCCAGGTTCTTCGTCGATCGATCTCTTTATCTTAAGCATGATCGTCGTCTTCCAGTTATCTAATTTCGTCATTTTGTCATAGTCAACGACTAGTCCTGTGTATTGTTCTTGATCGCCCTGTTCGATTGCGTCAATGGCGCCTGATAAGAATTTATGCTCTCTAGTCTGCATGAACGAAGGGTCCATTTCTGCGAATGTGGCTATAGCTCTACCCGCGTCGACCAGATCACCTGCAGCTAACCAACAAAGGCCAGCCTTAAAGAAGTATTCTTTCACACTGAACCTCGTAAGCGGTGATTCGAGTGATTGTTTTATAACTTTATCATAATTACTAATAGCCCTCTTGTATTGTTCTAATTGTGCTGCAATGTCTGCAACGTCTTTGTAGCATGCGCTCGCTGTAGCTTTTGCATCCTCCTGTTCGTACCATTGTGCAGCTTTCTCGTATGATTCTAAAGCCAGGGTTAAATCTGCGAGTTCGTTGAGGTATATAGATGCAATTTCCTTCATCCTGTCAGCTGCTTGTCTAAATCTACCAGATTCGAGTAAACCGTTGACAGCTCTCTGGTAAGCTTCTACAGCGACTAAAGGGGGTGTTAGTGGTGCAAGCTATCTCTACGAGATAACATACGATCAGGGTTTGTTTGCTTGTATGCCTTTGCAGCCTCCCAAAAGTGCTGATTAGCTTCGTTTTTCTCATCGGCTTTTATAGCACATTCAGCTGCTCTGATGAAAGAGTCACCAGCTTCTTTAAAGCACTGGTCAATCTTGAACTTATTGGCTGCATCCCTGAACATATCTGCTGCATCCTGTTTACGCTCTCTGGTAGCACTGGGACCCCAACTGAATAAGCCACCTGATTGATTAGCTTTCTTTTCTGCTTTTTGATATAGCGAAAATCCTTGAGATTTGCCCATCACCGTTGGTATTTAAAGAGACACTCTCTAAAATGAACCTTTATGATGTAAATAATATAAAAATAACAGGAATTTAAATAATAACAACTTAATTTAGGAAGTTAAACTATACAACACAACTAATGAACGTGATAAATACGAGAATTTAGCTACTTTGTTCGGTATCATTCAATCACTTGATTATTTAGAAAGAGCATACGTCAGGGATTCGATAAACCAATCAGAGTGCGTAGTTCTTGATTCTTATTCAGCGGCTTATCAATCCACTAGATACTCTCCCGCTTGCGTCAAGTTGCTGGCCCAGTTTAAGACAATTTTAAAGTTGGTGGCTGGCGACATTGCGGGTTCTGTCGATGAATTTATGGCAGAATATAAAGTACGCTCTCTGGTCGCATATAAACTACTCTTACGCTTACTTTAGATGGACTGTCCTGCTGCTGCTCATCGCTTACACGTCGGTGTTCCTGCCACTGTCGAACATTCGGCAGAAGAGGGCGTTGAAACTGGTAAATGGGTAGCAGAGACGACTCAGGTGGGTAGCAGTCATCTTTACCAACATGGCTAACTCACTAAAGTGCTTTATCACATTCATGGACGCACTCAGACTAAACTTACGAGCGAAAGACCAGTTACATCCTATGTTGACAGATCTTATGAGCGTCTATTCACGCTTCAAAGGCTCTTCTGAGTGGGAAGGCAGACCAAAATTAGTCGGATGGTCAGTAAAAGTGATCATTCATTTCAAAACTAACAAAAACTCAGGCTAATCAGTCTAAACAAGATGAAAGCTGCTGATGAGATTACAGATGAGCAATCTCGGCAGGTAGGTTGAGATATTTGAACGACTATAACCCCTAATGACCTCATTTAGATGTTGTTTGATGTCGATCACGCGTATAATGAATTTTTTAGATCTTTAGGGAAGAACGATGGATGATTAAACGATTAATAGAAAATGTAAAGTAGTTGAAATGCTAAGTAAAGCAACAAAGCAGCCATTGATGTTATGTTTGCGCTTGCTATATTGTGTGCTGCATGAATTTTGATTTGTTCGGGGATATGAACAGCGAACTGTTGTATTTGTTGGATATTGATATATAGATAGTTGAATGTCGGTATCAAAAGAACAGCAAAGCTAATCAATTCCAGTTTATACCTTCTGTATATGAAGCTATTGACGAACTGGCTGGACAAACCAATTATGAAGAGTGTGTTCATGAAAACCTTAACAGCCTGAGGGCTGTTGTTGAAAGTGCTATAAAAACCGATAGCGTTTTCACCGTTAAATTTACTATTATCCATTAAAAGCTTCAAATCTTGTGTGAAACAAATGAAGAGAATACCCAAACTGAATGAAACCGAGGAGAGTGTTATACTCTTTAGTAACGTCCTGTATAATATCAGAGTGTGTTCTATTTAAGTTATTTTTTTTATTTACATTTCCTTTAACCTTGATAGTCACCTACATACAACTACAGCCCCCTTCTTGAGTGACGACGAAGAAGCCAAAAAGAAAAATGGTAAATAAAGAACAAAACACACTAGAGGCTAATCTAACGATAATCTAGCCACCACCAAAACCAAAGAACTCCCGAATGCTGACGTTAATCAACTACAGGCTCAGAGTCACGCTAAACGACACTCGTCAGCTCGTTGGACAGATGCTAGCTTTTGATAGACACATGAACCTTGTTTTAGTTGATACTATCGAGTTTAGAAGGTTGAAAGGTCCTTCTAGCCAAGGTGACATCCCAAAGGAAATGAAGAGAGCACTCGGTTTGATTGTTTTGCGTGGAGAGACTATCATCTCTATCAGCGTTGAGGGTCCACCACCTGTGAAGGAGGAAGATCCAATAAGCAGCGGTCCAGGTGTGGGTGCACCAGCTGGTAGAGGAATGCCATTGGGTGCAGGCGCTGGTCCAGCTCCACCTGCATTCCAAGCACGCCCTATGCCATACGCTGGTGGTCCACCACCACCTGGATTCCCTGGTGCTGCACCTGGATTTAGACCACCGCCTGGGTGCGTAGCTAGATCGACATAGTATCTCCGACTAACACTACTTAGTTTCCCAGGCGCACCTCCTCAATCTATGCCTGGATTCCCAGCAGCACCACCTGGGTGAGTAGACACGTCCAAATAGAGATCTCTAACAAGAACAGCTTCCCTGGTATGCGTCCACCGTCAAGTTAATAATATTTATTATAAAAATTATTTTGTACTTCAATTTAAACCGTACTTTTCTTTCTCTTCTACGATCAACGTGATATGAAATGGTATGAAATATATCGCGATAAATAAAACGACTTGACGCGTTATAGGAGGATATCCACACTATAGTCATAAACAGCGTACAAGATAAGCTCACTGAGCAAGGTATACCAGCTAGTCAGCTCCCGGATATTATCTCAAACTTAGCGAAAGACGGACACCTTTCAAACTTCATTACAGCAGAGACCTTGGAGAATGTAAAACACTTCGCTAACACAGATAACCTAGAAGCAACTTTCGTCAGTTTGGATGGCGTTTTGAGCTTAATTGACTCCTTGTTGGTATCTTCTCCCAAACAGGATAGTTTGCTAGATGAGGAACCATTAGAGGAGATTAGTTTCATGTCTACATTAGATTCCCCGCGTAAAGACCAAGTTCAACCTTCGGATGGAATCACTCCTAAGATAAATCGTACAAACAAATTCAAGAGACCACGTCCAGCTCATAAAGTTGTTAGATCTAGCTCAAGCGTTACAGACTTGAGTGATTATTACCCATCAGATAATGAATTGCAATCACCGAGTACGAGTTCACCACCTCAAACCCCAAATTTAGACAATATACCGGACAGTTATAACAATTTGAATGGTTTGATGTTATCATCTAACAATCAGAATAACGTTAGTCACTTTTATCTCATCCTGACACGCTCTAATATCCCCTTCAGGATGCCCTAATACAAACGCAAAACCAAATACGAGAATTAGAGAAACGCAATAATGAATTAGAGAAACGACTTAAAGAGTCAGAGCGCTCTTATACCCAAACGACATCTCAGAATGAAGATTATATATCCGTCATGGAGGACCAATTGAAAGATGTGCGTTACCTCTGCGATACACGCGACTACTAACGTAATACACAGAATGATATGAAGTTAGAAGCTCTAGCACGTGAAGAAAAGGATCTTCGTGCCAAAGACGTGAGTTGATAGGATTGAGTTGTGTCTTATGGAGTTCTTACACATCACTACAGCGTCAGAATATGTTTACGATCAATAAGGTGTGTTAGGAGTTAATAAAAAAGCCACGTCTAATATCATAAGCTTGAACACGATATAGCTACATACCAACGTCAAACTGAATCAGCACGTATGCAAGCCAACAGTCTGCAAAATCAAGTGCAGGATGTAAATGGTTGGTTAATGATTATTAAAGCGTATACTTCTAACATTCCTATCAGCTGAAATTGATTCACTCAGAGACAGTCTGCGTAAGTGTCTGTATGATTTAAATATCAAATCCAACCGTGCACTACAGGTGAGAAAGATAGAGATGTTCGTGAAGCCCGTAGCAGAGCTGATAGATATGAACATGAAATAAAGAAGGTGAGAATTCAGTAAAATTAGTGACGCTCCATCTAACTAAACGCCAGTGGGAAAACGAGAGAAAAGGTTACGAAGATGCACTACAAAGAATCAAGTCACAGCTAGAGATAGCCCGGAAATCTGAACGTGTATTGGAAGTACAGAAGTCTGAAAATGTTGGCTTGAAAGTGAGTGGATTCTATCTCTAAGATGTTCGTAACACCTCTCGAAAGGAAACAATTGACAGACTCCGTGGAGATCTCAGCCATCAATTGACATACAGCGGCTCATCGCAGGACGATAATGCCGGCCAACTTGGTAGTGTTTCCCGGAATCTAGGCAAAGAATTAGCAAGACAATTGACAGAAGTTGACAACAGCGCCGGTAAAACCCTCTCTAATGAACCATCTGAAGGCGAAATTGAAACTATCGTGACAACCCGCCGGCGGAAAGTCAAGCCGTCGATTAGTTCACTTAGAAATATCGAAACTGATAACAACACCGATAGCACTGAATCGCCGCCTCCATATTCACAAGGAAATGAATTTGAAATCGTCGAGGATGTAAAAAAAGTTACCAACAGAGGTGTGCAAGTCACACCGGAAAGTAAGACAATAGAGACGCAGACATCAACAGATGAGGATAAATCAAATGATAAGGAAGCCCACTCTCAAGATTCTAAGAAGTCATCATTTTGGAAAAAACTCTCGAGTAATTTGACATTCAAGAGGCGTAGGAGCGTTAGTCATACCATCACGATATACTCAACAATAGTTTTCCTTTGCGGTATGATTGGTGGCGCTTGGATCTTACCTTCTACAACTAGTTCGCTTGAAGCTGTTAGGTCATTATCTGGTTATGATGACAAAGCACTCTTCGTAGCTTATAACACCTTCGATGGAGCGTCAACACTTCTAAATAGTGATGGAAGTTTAACTCATTTCTTACAAACTTTAGTCTGGAATGGTTTAGATTCTTCACAGTTATTCCCTTCCTAGATTTATTTATAATTATTATATTATGCATGATGCTCTCTTTACAAATTTACTGACTATTCAAGAATGGAGATAGATAAGAAAGTAGAATTATTGTTCCTCATTGTCTTTCCGAGACAAAGATATTGAGACAAATGAAAAGGAGAGAAGAGTGGAGCTGAGTTTAGAGAGCTTAGAACAAGCAACCGATGGCAGCTAACATTACACCAGCTGCAGCGGTAGTCACACCAATTGAGGTTGCTGAGCTATCATCGTCGTCATTGTTGCTGCTGCTGCTGCTGGATGGTGATGAAGAGGCTGTTGATGCTGTTGAGGCCTCACTCCATGAGCTAGCTTGAGTTGGATTGAACACACCGAATGCGTCACAGTAGACACCCGCTTGTGCGGTTAAATTGTAGCCTATTATGGTTAGAAAATATAACACTATTCTAATAACACCCACCAGCGTTAAGAAGACAATCAGAGCAATCACCGTTATTGGCCAACGTGTCTGTCATCTTTGGACAAGCGCAGGTAAAAAACTTCACCTCGTCGTTCTCTGCTTGATCGTGGCAGTTGTTGTAATCTTGCTGAAAGTCTTTGCATTGGTTGTCGTAACATCTATCAAGTGCAGTCTCCTCTGTATCTTCTGTTTGTCAGTCTCGTCGTATAAAAGACAGAAGACGCACCTTGAGCTGAAACAGCTGCGAGAAGTACTGCAGTAATAAAAACCGAAACGTTTATCTTCATGTTTTGATGATGGGAATCCTGTGCTAAGAATATAAAAGTCTTTTTTGTCCCTTAAGTAGTCGGCGGACAGTCTTTAGAAGCGTGTTGACAGCGACATAAAATGACAAAGAGCTGTCACAAGAGAGGTAACTAAGTCATAATGTATGGTTTATACTATCTAGTTTACTATTATTTTCATTCTAAATATTCTCCCTTGACATCATACCGTGAATATGAAAGTGGCGATCGTTGGCGGAAATGGCTTCTTAGGCTCGGCTATCACTAAAGCGGCTGTTGGCCGTGGCTGGGAAGTCAGCAGTATCTCGTGGGTAGCGGATATAGACTATAGACACTAAACTAAGCTAGATAGACAATCAGGTAGACCATTCAGGACACCATCCGGACATACGCCTAAATGGACAGATGAGGTGTGTCTAAAATAGCCGATTGACGCTTATTTAACCTACCAAACCAGGTTAAATGGACATCCGCGAATGTGTTTGATCAGAATACATACGCAGACGTAATCAAACAGTCAGATGCAGTTGTCCACACTATAGGAATACTCTTAGAAAGTGATTATAAGAACGGTCCATTGGATGCTCTCAAGGGTTTGATAGCTGGAAGAGAGAATCCAAACCCGTTAACTGGCGGTTTATACGAGAGGCTGAACCGTGATGCGGCTATACGCGTAGCAGACGTTTACAAGAATACTAGAACCACACAAGAAGACAATCCATTCGTCTATATCTCAGCAGCTGATATATTCAGACCACTCATACCATCGAGATATATTTCAACAAAGAGAGAGGCAGAGGAATATCTGAAAAGATTAGATGGTATAAGGGATATTAGTCTTAGACCTGGATTGATGTACCACCCACACACCCGGCCGATATCTACGATACCTGCAACAATGATAGATATTTTGAACAAACTTCCTAAACCTTTTATTAATGGTTTAGATGCCGATAGTAATTTACAAAGCGTACAAAATTTACTGCATACTTCCGCATTGCATATCGATACCGTCGGAGCAGCAGCTTTGGAAGCTATACTAGACAAAAGCCAATCTGGAGACGTGAATGTGGACGATATTAAGAGACTGGCATGGAAATCTTAAAATTTTTAATTGGAATGTAATCCCTAGTAAATTACTTGTGATTTTATACAACTTGACTGAGATCTTATAGATCAAAGAAAGATTATTAAAATACAGACTCAGACAAAAGCCATGCGCGTTAGTTAGAAGTAATTTACGCTGATATTCACTTAATCTACCACAGGAATGGCTCAGTAATGTCAATGTGTTCCATTATAGGAAACCATCGATAGTGAGACGCAAAAGACGGGCGTCGGATACGCAAAAAGAGACCAACGATCAAGGTTTGTCTAGTAAATCATTAGCTAGACTTAAACCGATGGTCGTTAGCAATGATAACACAAAGGAGCAACTCGAATTAGATAGTATTGACATGCGGATAAATGATAAAGTAGAGAAAATGGCTAATAAAGTAAAGAATAGAACATCGCTACCAGCTCCTAACAAGATGAAGCAATCACAGAATACACTATTTGACGCATACGATATCGCTAAAATATCTGAATTACGGAATAATGATAGTAATTATTTAGCTATACGACGCGTTTTGGCAAAACCTCATAATAGATGTTGTGCCGATTGCCGTTCACCCGATCCATTATGGGCAAGTTGGCAACTCGATTTGATACCAATGGTTATCTTCATTTGTATTAATTGCTCAGGTTGGCATCGCTCTTTGGGTTCTCACATTAGTAAAGTGAAATCAATTGAACTTGACGATTGGACAACCGAACAAATTAAATTAGCGGATCGGACAGGCAATGATAAATGCAATTTATATTGGGAGGCTAACAAACCATCCGATATACCAATACCCAAACCGAATACTAGTGAAATTGGTTCATACATCACGTGTAAATATAAAGACAAGCTCTGGGTAGATAGCCGAGCTTTCGTTTAACGACGTTCATTTATCACGGAATTTCTTCATATTCTTATTGGCTAATGGGTTATTAATAATTCCAAATTATATTTATACCATCTTTTTTTGTCTATACAAGTCAAATACATAATTCAAAACCATCCCTTTTTACCAAATTTCTTTTCTTTCTTCTTTTCAACCTCTTGCTGCTTTTGTATGTGCTTCTCAATCTCTTTTTGCTCCTTTTTCAATCTCTTTTCGTCTTTCTTGTCTGGTTTGGGTATGATTGGTTCTCCTTTCGCGTTCATTGGTGGTGGTGGTGGTGGCGGCTGTATCTCTTCTGTCCAGAATTTCCTATCGTAAGCTTCTTGTAACTTTTTGTAGTAGCGTGCTTCAACTTCCTCAGGTGCGTAATCAGGTGCGGTCTGTTGTGCCTTCTTATCACTCAATTCTCTACCTGGATCGAACGAATATTTGTCCAATTTACCTAATGCCGTTGATGCACTCGAGAACTTCATATTCGCTTCATTTGTGAGCGTCGATCCACTACCATACATATATCCACCTCCTAACTTGCGCAAATTGTCAACGAATTTCATAGGGGTGAAAATATCCGTTGATCCTGACAATTATATTAGAATGATTGCAATTGATAGATGATACAACCTACCAATGAGTATGTCCCTGCTGGTTGAGTTCGCCAACTCATACATAGCTCTAATTTCGCTGTAGAGCATACCTCCACATACAAAGACAAGCACTTTTTGTTTCTTAAGGTCTTCATTGTCCTCCTTCATTGAAACCTTCTTCGATGCACTCTCATTCACTTGTGAGGACGAAGAGCGAGAAGCTGTCGCCCATGTAGCCCTAGCAGATCTCAAACTACCCTGAGAAGGTGCCGGTGTGACCTTCTGCAATGGTCTGGTTGATGGACGTGTACGTAAACTAGTTGAGGGTGGTTCATGTGCACCATTTGATGGATTTTCACCTTCTAGTGTATTCTCAAATTTAGGGAAATTTCCATTGTCAAGTCTCCCTTGTAGTAATTCCATTACTGTTGTCTTCAATGCAGGCACATATCTACTTGTGTCATAAACATCTTCGCCCGCCTTTCCGCGATACTTGTACTTTCTAAATGATTGTTGATTTTGATCATTCTTGCTAAGTTTTATACCCAAATGAACGAGATTGTCAATAGCTTCTTGTTCAGTTGGGCCAAGTCTTGCATGTTGGTATAATCTTCTTTTGTCTTCATCGCTAACACCCTCTTTAAAAATGATATACAACGCGATGATACGTATTTTATCCTTGTTTGTAACGTGTGGTAGATCCAAGAGTGGTACCATTTGCTCAATCAAATGACGTGGTGTCCGACCATCTGCCGTTTGACCAGTTGCGCAGCATTGCTCAACTTCTGAGACTTCCATTAAGTGTCTATTAGATACTTCTGCCATACATAAACCAGATAAGTTGGTATGGATGAAGGCCTATTCACATCGTCAAAAGAGTTATCTTATAACCATAGGCAACAAACCTTCTCCTTTATTTCTTCTAAATCACTGAGACCAGCTAACATACTTCTCAAACCATCGAGACCCTTGCTTTCTTTGAAACCACTATCGATTTTTTCGGCTTCACGCGTGAGCTCTCCAACTTTGTCAATCGCCTCTTTCATATGTAAGTGACGAATATCAGCCCAAATTGAGTCCGTCTTGTCTGAAAGTGAGTGTTGCTTAATACCCAAATCACCAACAGGTGCTTGAGCGGTACTCTTGAAGGTATAAGTTGGTGGATGAGATGTAGTGTCAACAACCCTATCAGGTAGGACATCAGTAGCAAGTGATTGATACTGGAAGTCGTGAATCAATGGTAAGCATACATCCAATGTTCTATCAGTGATGAGAAGAATAGGTGGTGCGACGTTGGTAGATGATGAATCAGAAAGACCGAAATCCGGATTGTCTCTCTTCATTTGTTGAAGCTCCTTATGGAGGGCAATAGCGACTCTCCTTGCAACGCCAGAACCTCTCTCTGATGAAGTAAAAGCGGACTTCCAAGTAGACCTCTTGATTGGAGGTCCTGCTGGATCAGCACCAAGGTATTCACCAGCTGCTACGACTGGATTGGCGTATGTACCAACTGAATTTAGCGGGTTTTGGTATCTAATCGAAGGGAATATATTGAGTAAAGTGAGGATATTCAATAGACCTTTTACTATTAAGCCTACTTGCACTTCAGATGATGGTATATTAGGTGGCTGTGAATAAAAGCTGTTGAATGCGGTCGGTTGATCGGTGATGAACGCCCTGGATTCAACCGAGTTGAAGTTGATAGAGAGCTCAGAGAGAGCTTCTAACTTAGTGATAATACCAGAATCTACGATCCATTGTTCTAGATACTTTGGTAGTTGATCTAAGAAGTAAAGCGAACAAGGTGTAGTGGCTTGTTTGACATCCTTAATCACTCTCTTGACGGAATGTGAAGTTGGTAAAACAAAGTAGAGTTTATCATAATTGCTAGGCTGCCTACGTAAATCCTCTAGTTCTTGTATTTCAGTTATATTCTGCTGTAGAATCTCGTTCATTTTGAGAGTATCGAGTATGAGCTGCTGCGAGTACTTGTCTGCTATAATAACTCTCCATTGCTTAGACTTTAATAATTTTAATAAATGCTGTCTTTTTAGATTGTGTAAGTTAGTCATCGTCGTCCTAGTAAAACTCCTTAATGTCATACCATCAGGATACGTTTGGGGAAAATAAAATAGACACTAGCAATTTACCAGACTTTTTCAATACTCCTTCTAGGAATCTAACCCATAAGCCTTCTTCAAGCTTCAGGGATCTCTGGATGAAGGATGATGCACTACCAACAGTCAGTTTCACAGATACGCTAAAAATGCACACACCAGACATTTTGGACTCTCCGCAGATTGATTTTAGTAGCGCATTAGAGCCTAGCTTAGAGCAGTCTCTCGATAGGACCCACATCTCGCAACCAGCTGTCGTGCCACCACCAATGCCAGTACAGCAGATGCAGCAGGTACAGCAAATGCAGCAGTTACATCATATGCAACACATCCAGCAACTTCAACAGCAGCAAATGCAGCAGCCAGATGTCGTATTCCCTGCACTCCCAACTCAAATGGAATCAATCCCTACTAACCACTCTGAAACTATGGAGAAGATCATTAGAGACCAGGAATTGCAAGATTTGAAGAGACGCAGAAAAGCAATCAAGATTTCTGCAATGAGTAACTTCAACCACCTTATGACACCTTCAGATAAATCTTATATTCTCAGAATGCAATTATCCTCATTAGCAACCGCAGACCCATACACTGACGACTTCTACGCCCAAATATATTCAATTCTCATGCGTAAAAACCAAGGCGTTTTGAATGTAGGAGGTATGGCATTGTCTGTTGCAGCAGGTTCAAACCAATCCGGAATGGGTGCTGGTGCAGCCAAAAAGCTTCGCGACCAGATCGACAAAATTGTCAGAAGCAAGAGAGAGAAACAGGAGGATAACACCAATAAACAAAGTCAAGAAGATTACCTCGTTGGTGCATTAGGTAAGACATCCTCAAAGACCAACTCAAGAGCTCCAAGACAGGTCTTGCAAGTACCTTCGAATGAATCGACAAAAGCATCCGCTAAGGATGTCCTCTCGTCACTCGAGAAAGGTGGTTTCGCAAGCTCACTGTTGAACGGTCCACAACCTGCACTTACACGTCGTCAAAGTTTAATTGCATCTGAAAAACTCTACGATTATGTCCTTAACCTCGAGAATTTACGTAGAAACCAACCCCAACCAATTCAACCAACGGAAGAGAACCCAAATCCAGAGCAACCATACGAGGAAATGTCACGATGGGAGCAAGAGTACAACTTTAACGTTGATGAATTGTGGAAGGGTCTCAGAGTAATGGAGCCACTTGAGTTGTCAAATCCACACCCATTTATTTCATTAATCGCGATTACAAAAACATCAAAGTTACTCCCAAGAGCCATCCGCCATTTAGATCAACAACAAGTGCTCACTATTAATACTCTCATAATTGCTTGCTTTAGTCAATACCTTAGATTTAATCAGGACAGCAATCTCGTTGAGGCTTTCTTATCTGGTATCGTTCCACAATTTATGTCTATGATTACTGGTGTTAGTTTGAGATTAGTTGCTGGTATGCTTGCATTGTTTGTTGAGCGTAATGATGTTGTACAGGTTGCACAATCAAAGGTATGTATTTTAACATTCTAAGTGAATAACAGTTGATATTCGTCACAGCCAGGATTAGCATTCCTCACTATCTTATTGAGTAGAGCGGAGATATTGAAGCAAATTCCAATGGGAATTGAAAATGCACCAAATCCAGAAGAAATTTCTCAATGGTGGGTATATAATTATAATTTGATAATCTCATCTTACACCTCTCAGGGATCAAATATTCTCACTCTTCTTCAGCAAATTGTTACCATGTCTTCCAAGTTTATTCCCATCACAACGTCATAAGACAGCTCGGGCATTTGGAATGGGTGCAGCTATGCCAAGTGGATCACTCGAAGAAAGTATCTTATTAGACAGTGAAGATGAGAGTGTATGGCGTTTCCTTGCAGCGATTGCACTTAATAGTGACAACATTCAACAATCAACCCTCGTACAAGAAGTCAGAGATGTTGTTCAAGAGAACGTCATAGCTGCTCAACAAGCTTGGGTACCACCACAAAGTGCTACAAAGAAAATCGGTAATGTTAATGTATTCCTCCACGCCCTTGGTTTGGACGTCAGCCAACTTGGTGTGTAGGAATCTCGTTATTTAATGTTTAAAATTACAATCTTAAATGAAATAATAATAATTTATACACTCAACGGTTGTTGTTAACATTCTGGAACTGATACTGGAATTTTAACTGATGTGGCTAATCCAGCGAGTGAAGTCTCTTTGAGTTGGGTGCTCATTAATGCTGCGGTATCACGCATTGCTTTAAGTGACATATCGAAAGATACTACGTGTTCTCCGCGAGTGTTCAGACTAAGTTGAGCTGCACAAAGAGCTTTGATTGCACCGAGGAAGTTTCTCTCGACACAAGGTACTTGTACTAAACCGTGAGGTATATCACCTGATGATTTGTTAGATACTACTCGATCATGTTTACAAAACCCACATGTAACACCGAGGAAATGCTCAATTCCACACTCAGCAGCTTGAAGGATCTCCTTCGTTGATCCACCATTGAGGGCAGTGAAACCAGCCGCTGCCATGGATGTTGCACTACCAATCTGGTCATCGTTAGTTGTTTCAAAATAGTAAAACCCTCGTCTACTCACCTCAGCCATACATCCACCTTCAGCAGCACTGATGGTTGCACCTCTACGAATTAGCATTCCTATAGCCGCACCAGTGAGTAGAAACTGCTTCATGTCATTTGAAGGATCATGAGAGAGAAATTCAAGGTGGTATTTTAAAACAGCTGGTAAGACACCAGCACTGCCCATTGTTGGAGATGTAACTAATCGAGAAGCACAGGCGTTTGCTTCCATGACAGCTATAGCGTAACACATGACGAAATCGATCGATTTCACTTCATTGTTACGACGTGGTGGGATAGGCTTGAGTGGATGTGACCAATCGCCAACAATAGCTGCGTCAGAAGAGCTACCAATACTAGTACGATTGTAAAGTCCGCTTTGGAGTCTATCGTAAAGCATACGTGCGCGCTTTTTTACTTTGAGTGGTCCAGGGAGGTATTCATCCGTTGCGCTTATCCCAGCTAAAATACTCTCATCCATTGTTTTCCAGATATTCCTCAAACGTGAGTCAATCTCTTCCGGAGTATACCACGTCAGTTCGTTATTGTAGACAATTTGTGCGATTGTTAAGTTGTGTTTCTTACACAAATTAAGGAGTTCCTCGCCAGAGTGAAATGGATATGGAACATCTTTGTGCTTTACGACATCAGATGTGTTCTCTTCTTCAACGAGGTGCACATTACGACGTGCGGGATCTACAGCATCTTTCTTTATCGATTTGTAGAACACATTCTCGGTTATTTCAGTATTATCGTGTACGACAAAACCACCACCTATTGAATAGAATGTATTGGTTGCTAACAAATCTCCAGATTGACTGAAAGTTGACAATTGCATTGCGTTCGGATGTCTCGGGAGTGCCTCATTCATACGCCAGCTTATGTCTTTTTCGACGTCAAAGTAAACTTCCTTTTCTTCCGATTCATTTCTAAGAATAATCATTTTGTTTTTTACTATAGTGTCAAACAAGCCTGGAAGTGATGATGCATCTATCGATGTATCTTCCGGATCGACGCCTTCTAATCCCCAACAGATTGCCATGTCTGTCATGTGACCCTTCCCTGTAAGCGCTAAGGATCCGTAGAGAGTTACTTTCAATGAGTGAGCTTGCTCTAAGACACCATTGTCTGCGAGGTCATTGACAAAAATCCGTGCAGCTCTGAGTGGACCGCATGTATGTGAAGAACTAGGACCGAAACCTATAGAAAAGAGATCGAAAGTACTTATAACCGCGTGTTCTGTTTTTGGCGGTGTGTTCTCAGATGTTTGTGATTCCGGCTGAGTAGATTGATTGGATGATTGAGCAGTTGCTACTGTAGCCAAACGCCTGTTGTTTGGAAAATATCCGCTAGTACCGCTAATTTCACTTAACAGGCTCGCTCTTGTTCTTCCGAATGCGGATGCGGAGGTGGAAGACCTTGTGGAGAATGCAGCATGAGTGGACCTCGATATTCTTGCTAGGTTGTAACGGTTTCTTGATATCATGATTGTTTTGGTGAGCGGACAAATGAGCAGTCATTTATTTGGCATGTGATTCTGCTATCAGTGAGTCGACCGCGGTAGGACGATCGATAAGCGACTGTTGACATAAACGGTAATTTATGTATATATATAGTAAATAATATGATAAGACAAATGCCTAGTGAGACGGAATGTACATAATACCTCTCATCCACTTGGACGTCATCAAAAGTCAACAAACATCAGAGTTACAGACAAAGTGGCAAACAAAATAGAATTTCTCGAGCGACATGCATTTATACTACCAAGTAATAAACTATTCTTACATTATTGATCTTCTTACTTGGCGGAGATAATACCTGATGAAAATTGTCAAATTTTCTGTAAAAATTTTAGAAAGGTAAGAACTCACCATCAAAACGTTGTCTGAACCAAGCTTGTGCTTCCTCCTTCTTGACCTTGTGTTGGAAGCCAATCTTGTTGGTACGTGATTTGCGCTTAGCAACACGGTATCCTGGGCGGGACATGACGACGTAGAAGTCAGCACCGAAGATACCAATACCTGGGTCGTACTTGATACCCAAATCGATGTGCTCGTCAACACCGAAACCAAAGTTACCAGTTTCAGAGAAGTTGCCCTTCTTGAGTTCGTATTCCTTGACCTTAAGACCACGTTCGAGGATTTCCTCAGCCTTTGGACCTCTAACGGTAACGTGGCAGGCGATCTTTTCGTTACGACGGATACCGAAGGTACGGACGGTGTAACGAGCCTTTGAGGTGACTGGAGTTTGACCAGTGAGTTGTTCGAGGACCTTGGCTGCACGTGTAAGTCTGTCACCAGATTCACCAACGGAGATGTCTATAAGATGTTAGCTGGACTGTCTAGAGTAAGATAACAAAGTATTTACTGATGACGAGCTTCTCAACGCGAAGCTCCTTCATTGCGTTGCTTGGTGCAGTTGACTCGGCCTATTAATTTATTAATAATTGTTTATATTCCGTTTGTATAGAATTTTACCATTTCGATTTTTAACGTCGCTGAGCTCAAGCGATGATTAGACGAAATTCTCAAGCAAACGCAATGAAAAAATTACAAAACTTGTTTATAAATTAATTTACAATATAATTATAATTTATGAGCTATAGAGTAGCTAAATTATTTATTTAACCTCTTTTATGCAATATAACCAGGTTTTGAAACTTTTGAGAAGACAGCTTTTACAATGATATAACCGACACTAGCAGGGCATCTACAGCTAGACAGCCAGACTATCATACTAATATACGAACTACTATATACATTACATTATACAAATACACTACACCCTTCATTGCTCTGCGTTCGAACTGTTTGACGGTATGAGTGAGAAATTAGGTGCTGTTAATCTGTGCCTTGGCGCAGGCATTCTAGGACCGTATGATTCTGGTAGTGGTGGTAACGGTCTTGAGTTGAGTGTCTGTGAGAGCTCTAAGAGGTACTATAAACGATATGAGTGGATAATCCAACTAGATAGTAACTGTGCATACCTCTTTTGGTGGTGCTAATGAAAATTGGTGGTTGGCTTTCACTGAAATAGCCATTTCAACATCCCCAAGTTCAACGCCATTGTATCCATTCCTTCCAGCATATTCTGAGTATACCAATGAATCTGAGAGTACTTCGTGCGTGTATCCTATCCAAATATATTAGCTTCATCCTTTTCTAGTCAATATGTGCTCACTGTTCGCGAAATCTAATAACATATGTATCGTAGCTGGAGGAGCATCATTTATACCTTTTGAAGCTAAAATAAGTGATATCAAATGCGCTGTTCTTGGTACTGGTTTGACATCAGACATGATTGCAGAAGATTAACAGGCTCGTTCGTCTAACACCACGATCATATTCATAATTTTCACAAATTAGAGCAATAATCTTATATGGAAATGCATCTGGGTCTATAAATAAGTTGCACAATGTAAATGGGACATCAGCTTTTTGGTTTGCTCATTGAACAAGCTTGGAGTTATAAGAACAGGACAGAAAAAAGATATTTCTCATATTAAATTATACAACACACCATAGTTGTACCTTACTTCTTATCCTATCTTGTTACTACTCCCTAAGTTGTCGCAATTTAATGACGTGATTCACAATCGTAGCTCAGTGATTGCTTATGATTAATTTCCATTCAAATAGGCTTCTTACTTACTCTGTTCTTCTTCTTAAACGAAATGAGTTCATCGTCACTGGACAAGCAGAGCTTAAAGGATGAGGAACAATCTGAGACCTCCTCTCTCAGCAACAACCACATTTTCCAGCAACCAGAAATAGCACAGTATTGGTCAAAGATTTATGAGAATGCAAAATATGAGAATAGACATAGGTTTGATCCAGAGTTCACTTGGACGCCAGAGGAGGAGAAAAAAGTCTTACGTAAAACTGACTTGAAGATCTTGGTATTCTGTATAGCTATGTTCTTCTCACTCGATCTCATACGACAAAACTTAAGTATGTATGAAAGTAGACGTCCTCTCAAAAAGCTAATCGTCTCTATTAGAGAGAGCTGTCTCCGACAACCTGTTATCTGAACTTGGTATGGACCAAAATGACTACAACAACGGTAACACGATCTTCTTCCTTACTTTCTTGGCCATGGAGTTACCTTCTGGTTTGATTAGCAAGAAAGTGGGTGCTGATAAATGGGTACCTGCACAAATCATCGCTTGGTCAATAGTAAACGCAGCTCAAGTGGGTATGAATAACAGAACCGGATTTTACGTTCTGAGAGCTATGCTTGGTATTTGTCAAGGTGGATTTATTCCTGACGTGTTGCTTTACTTGTCGTATTTTTACACCTCCGCTGAATTAAACATAAGAGTTGGATGGTGGTATACAGTTTTGGGATTCTCTCAAGTTATTGGTACACTTCTAGCAGCTGGATTCATCGAATTGAGAGGTCTGCATGGACTATCTGGATGGAAATATTTATTTGCATTCGAATCTCTGATCACTGGTGTAATAGGCATCCTTTCAATTTTCTTGATGCCTTCAGGACCTACGCAAACGGCTGGTATACTTAGAGGCAAGAAAGGTTACTTCACTGAACGCGAGGAGAAGATCATAGTCAACAAGATTCTTCGAGACACGCCAAACAAAGGAGACCTTAACAACAGAGATGGTATTAATTGGTCAAATTTCGTTAAGGCGATAACAGATTACGATTTATGGCCAATTTATATACTTGGATTAGTTGTTTATATACCTTACCAACCATCACAAAATTATATCACACTTATTCTCAAACAACTCGGATTTTCAACTTTCGAAAGCAACGTCCTACTCATACCTTATCAAGTTCTTTTCGCAATATTCTGTGTTTTAGTTAGTTGGCTTTCAAAGCGAGTCAAGGAACATGGTTTTGTTTCTACAATTGCGAACGTATGGACATTACCACCACTCGTTGCTCTTTTCTGCTTGCCGCAAGTACAATCAAATTACTACAATTGGGTTAGATATGCTCTCAATATGCTCATCTCATCTTTCCCATACATTCACCCACAGATGATCGCATGGCTAAGTGAGAATAGTAAATCAGTTGGTAGTCGAGCAGTTAGTCTCTGTATATACAACATGACATACCAGATTGGTAGTATAGGAGCTACAAGAATATATACAGACGCCGACAAACCATATTATGAGAAAGGTACTGCTGCACTTATTGGTATTTGTTCGGTATCAATATTACTTCCAGTTCTAGCAAAAGCATATTATATCGCAAGGAACAGATATAAGCTCAGAGAGTGGAACAAAATGACGCCTGAGCAACAGTTGGAATATAGTATCACGACAACAGACATTGGATCAAAGAGATTGGATATGCTCTTTACACACTAAGGAAATGTATACTATTGATTATTCTCATTATAGATTTTTGTATTTTATTTAACATATGGATGAATAAATTGCATCTTAACTAACGATATGCATGCTTTGTCTATATAATCATGTTATCATGCTCTACATACTGGTATTGTGATTTCTTGTGATAATTCTTCTTCACCTTGACTGACGTATTGAGCTGATAATGTCTCATCTGAATCCTTTCTTTCAAGACTGCCTCCATACGCCCAATAAGAAGAAACCAAAGCGAAAATTGCAAATAATGTACTACAGCCATAGGCGGACTTGAGACCATTGGCTAATACACTCTTAACTGCAAGTCTGTACTCTATTGGAACATCATGGATTGCATCGACAGATTTACGAACTTTATCGACTATATCATCTGAATTGTCAAGTCCAGAGAGAGCATCAGGGAGATAAACCATCACGTAATTCTGGAAAATTGTTGCTGTGACAGTAACACCAAATACTGAGCCGACGTTCCTAAAGAGATAGACGACCGATGTCGATACTGCTTGTTCAGCATGGCTAAATGCAGCCAACATAGTGAACAAAGAGGAAGGATTGATAAGGCCTTGACCAATATTAGTCGGAACAAGTGACCAAAAGTAAGTCGCATCGCTATTTGTTCCTGAACTGTCAAAATTGAGCGGGAGTGCACAACCGATTGTAGCGATAACGCATCCTACTTGAACTAATCTATTAAGGTATCCATATCTCGACATAACGTAGCCAGCTACGAGAGCACCAGCTGGAAAACCCAAGGCCGGAACAATGAGACGACGTCCAGCCGTCCCGCTGCTCTCTTGCTTGACGGATTCAAAGTAGAGTGGTGTGAGGAAGAGGAAAGAAATACATGCAGCACCTGAAAAGAAATTTGTTGTGATATTGCTATATGCGAGAGTGCTTCTAAGGAGACGAGGAGGGAGAATTGGCGCGACAGCGTTGAGTTCAACTATCCAAAAACCAATAAGAAAGACAGCAGCGCTGACAAGGAAACCGACGACGAGCGGATCTGACCACTGCTTGTCATTACCGCCCAGGTTTAGACCGGCAAGGAGTGAACTCAATCCGAGGACTAGCGTGAGTGAACCTAAGATATCAATATCTTTCAATTGCTTCTTGTTTGCAACATCATCCTCGAGTGGTCCTTTGACGTAGTTGGGTTCTTTTATATAAATCGCGCCTCCTATTATACCGAGCGTGCAAACTGGAAGTTGAACAAGAAACATGAACCTCCAATTGAAACGCTCAGTAATCCATGCACCTAAACTTGCTCCTAGTGCTGCACCGAGTCCATTCCATAGATTATTAGCTGACTGGTATTTTCCTCTATGTTGGAATGGAACATAATCGCTCAGGATGATGGTCGCGACAGATTGGAGACCACCACCACCGATACCAGTGAATGCACGGGCAAGGTTGAGTGATAGCATATTAGGTGCAACACCACACAATAAGCTACCAAGCCAGAAAACAGTAGTAGCGAAAAGGAAGCATTTACGCCTGCCGAACATATCCACATCGGATAGTCTACCATAGAGCGGCTGAAAAGATGTTGAAGTTATAAGATAAGATGTGCTTATCCATACCGCATTGTTGGCATCCTGGAAGCTGGAACCTAGACTGTGTGAGTGTGTGGAAATTAAGACAGGCAGACAGACTGACCAATGATAGCGTAAGTTGCTGCTGCAATTGTAGCGTCAAACCCGACAAGAAAAACGTTGGCCCAGGTTACTTAAAAAATGTAAGTGATGCAGTTTCATGCGGAAAAACAGCCCGGCTCACCCAGTTGTATAATACGGAGTTCGAGGGTGGGTTTCCAGACATCACCTGACTTATTTAAGAGTGCGTCGCGTTCAGACGGCATGATAGTAGGGTAGTGAGAAATTTCTTCGTCCTTCTTTAATTTCGCAATCAGATTAGGGGATGCGCTAATCGTTCCTGAATTAATCGATAGAACGATAAATTTTAATTTATAATTGATAAGTATACTAGCTTTACATTGAATTAGATTATATTACAAGACATTCGTTCTTCTCTAACATCCAACACTATCGAATGCTAACTTGGTGTTGCTCTGGAAGGAGGAATAAAGTAAAAAATGTACTCGATATCTAAAAAGCTATATTCACACATCTGACGTTTATACAGCCAGACGAGCGTAGTAGACTCCTTGACGGTGACCGTGATGATGACGCTAGGAATCTGCGTAGTACAACTACCAGTCCTCCAACTTCAAGCTATAACTCACCAAGTATGAATAATACGCCATCGACAGGTTCACCAAACCCGGAGTTATCATATGCCTATTCATATCCTAATCAGGAAGATGCAGCTTCACTCAATAATATAGTAAGCAAGGCATCAGAGAAAATGGTAAATATAACGAATTCTACATCATCACTTAAAGCAGCAACGAGCATGCATAGTCTACGCGATCTTAATAGTCTCTCAACCTGGCTAGAAAGCGATCCGATAAAGCTAGATAAAGCGACAGAATTTGAGCAGGAACTCATTAAACAAACGGCAAATGATCTATCAAAAGTATTTCAGAACGCATTTGATGTTTCGCTCTCACAATCAAACAGTGAAGCGTCGTCGAGGAGAAGCAGCGTCAGCGTAGGTGGATTGTCTATTCAACAACGATCCATGCATGAAGAATTTGAAAATACACCACGTCAAACTGTATCATCAACACCAAAAAATAACTAATTTGTCAATAAGTTATACCCTTGATTGTACTTTTCAGCAGTTTTAACTATAATATCATCAGGAATGACTGGTCCAACTGGGTTGTTTTTGTCAAATCCGACTGATTTCAACCAGTCACGGACAAATTGCTTGTCAAAGCTGTCCACGCTCTTTCCAACTGTGTAGCCATCGACTGGCCAGAATCTCGAGCTGTCTGGAGTGAGAATTTCATCAACGACGACGAGGTTTTTGTCGCTATCGATACCAAATTCAAGTTTGGTATCAGCGATAATAATACCCTTAGTTGCAGCGTATTCTGAGGCCAATTTGTAGATTTTTATGGCAGCTTCTTGGATCTGACTAGCTAATGGTTCTGGCACTCTCTTTTTGTATTCTTCCACTGAGATATTCTCGTCATGTTCGCCCATATCTGCCTTCGTGGATGGTGTGAAGAGCGGTTCGTCGAATTTCTCACTCTCACTCATACCCTCTCTGATAGCCTGGCCATTTACAGTACCAGATTTCTTATATTCGCTCCAGGCAGATCCTGTGATGTAACCTCTAACGATGGCTTCTATCTTAACGATTTCGCACTTCTTAACTTGTAAAGTACGATCTCTGAGGCTATCTATTGACTGAGCAGGGAGTTGCATCTTTTCTACATCACTCTCTATCAAATGGTGGTTAACTTGTGTGCCGTCTGAGAGTGTGATAGGGAATAGCTTATCAAACCAGAACTTAGAAATCTGAGTGAGTAGTTTACCCTTTCCTGGAATACCCTGTAGATGTTAATAAGTTCATAGCTCTCTATGTTCACTCACGGAAGACAAGATAACGTCGAATGCGGATATTCTGTCGGTAGCAACGAAGAGTAGACTATCGTTATGATCAAACAGCTCGCGTACTTTCCCTGAAGAAATTTTCTTTATACCATCCAATTCTGTTCTAGTTATTGCGGACATCTTTCAAACTATATGATGGTAGTTCGCAACAATCAAGATGTTAGTCGAGAAGATAGAAGAACTGCTAAATTTATTCGGATTGGAACTTGCTATGATATCTAACCTATTAGGTATTGGTATTGTCGTCGGAAGCAGTCTCATAAAGATACCACAGTTATACACAATCTACACCAAATCCAGTCGAGGATTAAGTTTGAGTGCATTCGCTTTAGAGACCATAGCATACTTTGTCAACTATGTTTATGGCTATGTACACGCTTATCCTTTCACAACTTACGGTGAAAACTTAACATTGACATTCCAAAACATCATAATAGTAGGATTCATTTTAAAAAGTAAATTCAAGACAATTTTATTTGCGATTTTCACTCTATCTTTCATATTCACCCCTAAAGAATTCGTTGATATCACATTCACCTTATCGATTCCACTCAGTCTAGCCTCAAAATTACCTCAGATTTTTAGTAATTATAGAAATAAGTCAACAGGATCACTCAGTCCTATTACAACCTTCGCACAATTCGCTGGTTGTTGCGTTAGAGTTTTGACTAGCATAAAGAATGCGAATGGTGACATCCCTATGACAGTATCTTTCGCAGGTGCGGCCGCCCTCAATGGAGTACTCATCCTTCAAATTGTAACCTACTCACGCAAGCAACATTCTTTCAGTTTACCGTCACATCATCGCGCCGTCAGTAAAGAAAAAAGGCTCGATTGAGTGTAAATATATGTAGTATACCTTATATGCACAGTTTATTGTTATTCTGATTTTAATGGAGGTCAAACAAGTAAGAAACTCACACCCTTTTTATTAAGACAGCATACATGACGCAATAAACGAAGGATCAAATAGTTTTAATAGGAAAGTTAATCGGAAGATTCCAGGGGATTTCACAGGAAACTTCACTTGATGATAGATTTTGGAAGTAAGACAGGGGTGATGCACCAATAGCTCAATATTGTCTACATCACGAGAGCTACAAACTACACCATGAACAAAGGGAAAAGACACATTAAGTATGATATGTGTAGATATACAATAAATCTATTAATATCGTCGTAGAATAACTTATTTATGCACTAACTATTATTTGAAGTTCGATGTGAGAATTAAGATTAAAGATCCGGCGCAAATTTAGATTTGGTACGCAGGTATGATCCATACCTGTGTTTAGTTAGTAATCGTCGTCAAATCAGTTTAATCGACCTACTTCATCAGCGCGAATGGAATGAATGAAAGTACGACAGCGATGCATCCGAGCAATGTAGACGCCCATCTTGGGTTCAGTTTTTCGAACATCTGTGAAGCAAAAAGAGGGAAACCAGCACCGAACGCAGATCTCACGATCGTGTTAGCTGCTAATGCTGAACTTGCTGACCAAAGGTAAGTGTCAATTAAGTAATTAAAGAGAGCAAGGAAAACGAAAAGAATTGACATTCCGATTAATCCACCAGCGATGAGTGGTGACCAAAATGAGATAGATGGATAACTTGTCCATCCGAACCTGTGACAATGTTAGAAATAGATCATTTCCTAAAAGAGCACCCATACCAGAAGAATCCAATTGCGAAAAGAATACCGCCAAGAGCTCCCTGCTCAAGACGTATTTCAGGTGGTGGGAGTTTAGGTGCGTGTTTCTCGACCGCTTTGATGTATCTTTCATCTCGTTAGAACGTCTATTAAAGGTAAATACTGCTCACTTTGGATTGAAGTAAAAGACGTTGATTAAACAGGCAATAAATCCACCAATGAATAGCGGTAAGAACATTAATCCTTGAATACCTTGAGATGACATTAGTAATGATATTTCAATATCAAGTCGACCCACCTTCATTGAAATTATGTCCACCGGGACCAAAGACAAATGGGTAAGCCTCGAAAAGCAAGTAAAGAACACCATATACCACACTCATGAAAATGGTCAAACTAAGTAACATAGGTTCGAGTATAAGCATTCTAAATGGTTTGAAGACGGTGTTTTGCATTTCGCTCTTGAACCCTCTCTTACGTAAGTCCAATGGTGACTTGTATCTGTCGTCGCCAGTTTCTTTACGCTTTTTCTTAGCGATTTGAGACAGCAACGCGGGTGCATATGTCTCTGGAAGAATGAAAATGATGATGAGAGTGCAAGATCCGGCAAATGCAAAAAGAACCCAGAAAAGTATACGCCAATCTGCACCACTGGAACTGATAAATCCTGAGACGATTGGGGCGATAGCTGGACCAGCAAAAGGAGCTAAACTGAAAATACTAAGCGCTGAAATAAGGTTAACACATTTTTATCTGACGTAGGTGACACTAACCGATTCCTCGTCCTATAGAAATGACGTCAGTTTGATTGAAAAAAGAATAGATGACATACTCTTAGGATCCCATAAGTCAGAAATGAGGGCACCACAAACGACCAATGGGGCAGCACCGAAACATCCAGCAAGTAATCTAAATATGAGGATGCCAGCTGTATTCGGCGCTAAGGCACATCCAAGGGTGAACATCCAGTAAGGGAAGAAAGCTATAAGAAGGGTCCACTTTCTACCCAAATTGCCTTCAGATAATGGTCCCCAGAGACTAAGAATGTTAGTAAAAAGCAAACGCCGGTATATCGCAACTTACAGTGGACCAATGCAGTATCCACCAACAAAGAGAGAAATAGCGAGTGTGGCAACCTCTCTACTAAACGTGAACTCTTGCATGAGGTTTAAAGCAATACCGGATGGTGAACTACTCGAGAATGTCGAGTTTAGAACGAGAAGACCACCAATAAAAGTGAGTGTCCATCTGTACGCACTTGACCAATTCTTTGGATTGCGTGGGTCACCTTCCTCAAATTCCGCGATAAGGTAAGGATCCTCCTTTTCCTCTTTTACGGCTTCGCCTGCGTCCTCGTCTATGTCATCCTCTCCGCGTTCGAGATCCTTCCCAAAAGCGACATTCGGAGGCAAAACGAGATCTGTGGCACCGGTGATTTCAGCGGATGCTGTAGGGAGTGGTAGACTATCACGTCGCAATCCTTTCAAACTCTCATTTGTAGGGACCGGGTAGAGACTTCCCTGTGAACCTTTACGGTTAATTGATCTGTTGCGGTTTACTGAGACAGTCCTAGTGGGGCTTTCTTGCGCTATAGATACTGAATGTTGTATTGGAGGTTTCTCTTCCTCAGCCATGATTGTAGTCGTCTAAGGAACGATAATTCTCGCACGAGGAAACTGGGGGAGTAGGGGGCCGATGGGTAAAATATATAGGAAATCCAAAATGTTTATTTATAGATACGAACATTACAAATATTATTGTATTAGATAATGTCGGATTTAGTAAAGTCTATATGGTTGACTACCGATGACGATACTTAAAGCGGCGAATAGGAAATTTGTAGATTTCGTTCCTAGTTGGAGATATAGCACTTTATTCATACTGGATAGAATATATCAATAGATCTAATATTGCTTTTTATTTGTGCTAAATGAACATACATCGTTCCTGTGCCGCTGGTACTATATCCGAGAAGTATATTGCTTTTGGCCGTATATATCGTGGTGATATATATTTTGATACGCCTCCTTATACACTCTATCAACCACTCCGTCATGTACCACCTTCTTAGAGGATTATACGAAGAGCTAACGAGGCGGACGGAGTATTCGATATTAGTAGTAGGATTAAATGATAGCGGAAAGACCACATTTGTAGAACACGCAAAGGAGATTTATACGGGGAAACCACGATTTAATTCCGGACCAACGATAGGACAGAATGGTTAGTCTATCAGTTATTAGAGTCTTTACTGATGGAAATACAGTGGTAAAAATACCAGTTAGTAACACTATACTCCAGTTCTGGGATCTCGGCGGCTCGTCTTCCTTTACAAGTTTATGGGACAAATACTACACAGACGCGCAGGCAGTACTCTACTTTATAGACGGCACAGATAGACAGCGAATGAGAGAAAGCTGGGAGACGTTCGAAAAGCTGAAGTCACATCCAGAATTACACGGTATACCGATCATAGTCTGTGCTACAAAACAAGACAAAGAAGGTGCGATGAATGGATATGATGTACAAAAGTTATTCGTGGAATACAGTAACAACACACCAACAACTCAATACCAGAGTCTAAGTGAGCGTTTAGAAGCTGCTGAACAAATCGATAGTCAAGAGGATGATAAGAGAAATCTAGTTCTAAATCTAATCTGCACAGATCAGAGTTCAGTGAAGGGTCTTATTGATGCTTTATTCATACGCGTACAGACCTCTCCGAGGTCCTGATCGCTATCACTTCAAGACGGTCTCTGATTTACGTATCGATAGGAATTGCTGTTGGGAGGATGGTTGCAACGTTTTAATAACGTCATAGACTTGTATGCTATTATATCTTAAACGCGTCCGTGGATCTGTGTAGTTTGCTCGTAAGCCTGTGACATCACAGTATTTTGCTGGTGGAAGCAATGAAGGTGGACATTCTATGGTGAAGAAGTTTGTTAAACTGTCTGGAAGATTCTCCAATTCTTTTATTTCTTCTTCACTGGCTTCTAGTTCTCCGGCTTTTATATCTGCCAACTTCTGTTTATCAAGTTTAATACTATCTAACTGCTGCTTCTCGCGTTCCCTTTCTATAGCCATAACCTGCTTGTATATCTTGTTACGCTTTGTATTAGACCATTTTGGGTTCTTAAATGGACGCGCTGTATCATAGTAGTTGTAGTAGTCGACGACTTTATCTGGTGGTTGAGGCGTAGAGGAGTCGGATACCGACGATTGACGTGCCTTCTTCTTTGGTGGCCTGTCAATATCGTTAGTTGAGGTAAGAGCTGCATTGTTACCCTTACATATCTCTTGCAAGTCAACGTTCAAGTAAAAGGAATAAATGTGGTGAGAATATACCATATAGGAAAAAACCTATCTAATATAACACCTAGCAAGCACGTTCTTAATGCCCAAGCAGCTATTCGCTCTCCGTGCTGCAGGAAATGGTTTGATGTGAGTTGAACACAATAAAAATACAGCGCTCATAGATTTCTCAGTGTCCAGAATGTCACGAGGAGAAAGAGGATCACCCATTAGCTAAGAGTTTAGAGTTGGCATTCATGTGCAAGAAATGTAAAAGGGCATTCAGGAAGGATATGACAGTATTTGAAGAATCAGATGAGTTTTGTCCACATTGTGACAATCACTTTGTATGTCTAACAATACACGCCTGTTTATGCTCACATATACACAGGTAATTGATGCAAAGACACCAGAAGCAGCACTCATGGTTGAAGGTGAAGACGCTCGCGTGGATAACAGGATGATAAAGGATGAGAGGAGCAAAATAGACCCAGAAAGAACTATAAACGCTCGTAATAATGAACTTAGTGATAGAATCGGATAATGCATCTTAATTGATATCTATTGTTATGTCTGCGTCATCTGCTATTCCAGACAAATCGCTGTCGCTCGAGTCACTGTCGCTACTACTACTACTTATACTACTATCGCTGTCATCACTGTCGTTATCGAACTTCATATGTTCTTCTGTTCTCCATCGTTTGTCAAGCGGTGTAGAAGACAACACTAGGACTGGATAATCTATAACAGTGGTCCCTCTGAGAGTTTCTATGATCTCCTCCGAGTGTTCTGCCTTGATGTTTCTCCCGTCCTGGCTCTTTATGTAGGTATGTAAGCAACTGATGTCGTCCATGTTCAATTTTTGCTTGAGGATGCTCTGTATAGTCATAGATTGTAACACCTGATGTACCACTCTAATGTTATCGCCTTCTACGATATCACAGGTCATCTTAAGTTCGCCCGCTCTTGTATCAAAGAAAGTATGATCTTTTCGCCGCCTTTCCATGCCCTGTGGACTGAGGAGCAGTTCTACGCCTTCATTGGCGTATGTCCGTATAAGTTCATTAGTTTTATAGTGTTGTCGTTGCTGCTGATTTGGGTGTATCGATTTTGATGCACCTTTACCAAGTTCTTCTACTAATCTTTTCTTCTCCTCTAAAAGTGTGAAATCATTCACTAAATGCATATGTTTGTAATCTTTCATTGGTATGTACGCCGTTTTGTCTCGCTCTCCATTGCATCCTGTACGCTCCTTATGCAATCTGCTACAGCCGACAGAACAACTGCGAAGCTCACATCTCGGGCATTTATACTTTGAAATAGCACCACAAACCTCACATAAGGAGGTTTCCTCAGAGAACATAGTTGATGGAAGTTCTAGTGAAATGATGTAATATAAAAAACTGCTGCATAATGTACAAATAATAATACAAGTAGGTTTATCCGATTAGACACGCTCACCGCGGAGTCTACGAGCGAGTTGAACGTCCTTTGGTTGGATAGTAACTCTCTTGGCGTGAATAGCAGCCAAGTTAGTGTCTTCGAAGAGTGAGACGAGGTATGCTTCACTTGCTTCTTGGAGAGCCATGACTGCAGATGATTGGAAACGCAAGTCAGTCTTGAAATCTTGAGCAATTTCTCTAACAAGACGTTGGAATGGCAATTTACGGATGAGCAATTCGGTGGACTTTTGGTAACGACGAATTTCTCTGAGGGCGACAGTACCTGGACGGTAACGGTGTGGCTTCTTAACACCACCAGCTGCTTGTGGAGCGGCTGTCTTTCTTGCTGCTTTGGTAGCGAGTTGTTTACGTGGGGCCTTACCACCGGTTGATTTACGTGCTGTTTGCTTTGTTCTGGCCATTGTAGTTACTCGAGAGTTATGATGTTGTAGTTAAAAACAAAAAACTTGTTTACTTCTTATAATATTTCGATCGCGCGCTAAAGGATCATGATCGTTGTGTTCTGATCTGATCTCGAGGTTATGTGAAGTGAGGACAACACATTATGGAAAATAAACTATACAAATAAATAATTCAGCTTTGTGGCTTTCTAATTATGTGTTATATCTAATTATTTCTGCGTAATTTGTTTTGAGATCAGTGTGTTTGGTTTCTCTGATCAAGCGCGACTTTTGATTTCGCGTATAGAGAGTGGTGATCGACCCTAAACGTATTTGAATATATCAATTATCATAGAGTAATGTACGCGGAATATAATGGTATATTTCTTACTTTCTTAAGTCCCCATCTTGGTCTCCTACTAGATCAGATCAACGATCAAAAATCAGCGCCCGTTCGAGGCGCCTGATCTGATGCGCGCCTCAGAATAATTTAAATACTGAGCGTTTGCCACTCTCTCTCCTCATCAATTAACTAGTCAAGTAAAAATGTCAGGAAGAGGAAAAGGCGGCAAAGGTCTCGGAAAGGGTGGTGCTAAGCGTCACCGTAAGATTCTCAGAGATAACATCCAAGTGAGTCTGTTATTTACGATATAGCAACCTTTCTAATTACTCCATAGGGTATTACCAAACCAGCTATTCGTCGTCTCGCTCGTCGTGGTGGTGTTAAGCGTATCTCCGGTTTAATCTACGAAGAAACCCGTGGTGTTCTCAAGGTCTTCTTGGAAAATGTCATCAGAGACTCTGTCACCTACACAGAACACGCAAAGAGAAAGACTG